AGCTTCTATATTTATATTTATTGTATATGTGTGTTATTTTAGTGTAAGCATTATAAATGTATTCATTACTGTATCATTCTCTATAGGTATTCAATCCACTATCAAACACCGTTGGGACAGACAGAAATACCATTCCATTATGATTCATACAAATGTATGTTATGTATGAATTTATAAGATAACATATTTAAGTAAAACGTCAATATTTCTCTCCACTCTTTTTGACTATTGGCTACCAACGGCCTCGGTAGTCTGGCGGTTTAGAACAGCGCTTTACTTTCGATGGTCGCAAGTTCGAATCGATTGCTCGCACGGCACAACATTTTTATTCATGAATAGGATGCTTTGTTAACTTAAATGAAAATTTCATTCTGAATATTATTATTCAAGTAATTGCGGAATTATTTTTGTATATTGCGCCAAAATTGGTCACATCATGGTTTAATTTAAAATTTTATTGGACTATTAAGTATTGTATCAGTTGTCTAGTACCCATAACACAAACTCTGCCAATCTTTGGACTGTAGATTGTGTTGTGTGAATTATCCTAGGTTATTATTATTATTAATAAATATAAATTTGACATTTATGAACCTAGTACTTGCAATTAGTCATATCTTTCCTAATAATATACGGGAGTACCAGGATTTTCTATAGATATGACACAACGTAATAACCCAAAAATATAATCCACTGACATCACCTTACTATTTAGGCAAAAAATCTTTTGGCGTATTTATTTTCGTGAGAAACGCGTAATAAGATATTTCAATATTATTATACTTACCACACAAGTTGATTAATTAAATAAGTAGGTAGTCTTATATGTATTTTGTATTTCTTGTTTATTTTAAATCTGTGAAGTAAGGCAAAGGTTTCTCGACCATACTGCTGATTTTCGGTAGGTATATGATCTAAATAATTGGTTTTTTAGTTTTATTTGAAATTTAGATTAGAAATCATTTGATTTCGGTATTATTTTACTGATTTTACTTATACTCGTACAATGGGCTACAACTAACGCTATAAATAAACCATTATTTGCATAAATAAATACTGTTTCTTCTAGATATTTACTATTCAACGCATCTACTAAGTTGAATAAGCAAATACATAAGTATTTGCTTATTTGCGTCATATGTATAATGTTATATGTTTTCTACAATAAACCCAACTGTGCAAGTTAAATAAACTAAAATAAAAAAAAAAATATTTATCAATTTCTTCTAAATATAAATGAACTCTTTGCAATGAATATTGAAATATGTAACTTAATAACCTAATAAGCAATAAGTATACTGTAACCTTTTCATAATACCTGCGGTGACTTTATCATGTCATCTCCAATCAATAGCTAATACGATATGACGAAACGTAGGAATTCCACTAAACAAAGCCCAGCAACAATAACATGTCACACCAGTTTTGTAACACTGATATTTCGGTTCATTCATAATGGCATGCCACCACTCATTAGATACTCGCTTGCCCAATGAGTAGAACGATCGAATGCGTGGGAAACTAGGTCGTAGTACTCCTAGCATGGATCAGTTACCGACTGCATTCGGCCGGTGCATACTTTTAAATGATTCTTAATTTAAAAACTACGCACCGTATTTACTATTTTTACTATTCTCGATAATATTTTTAAAACGTAACGTGAAAATGAAATTTTAAAAATATTTTTGAAATTTTATTTTTGCACGATTTGTTTATTTCATTACTGGGAATTTAATGAAGATTATGAGAAAGATGGTAGGTATAAGAAGTGAGTAAGCTCAGATATGACGGCTGATAAGGAATGAGTAGAAGAACATTGCATACTGCGCCGACCCCAAATAATGGGATAAAGGCAAGACTATAATGACGGGAATTTAATGAAGATGATTTCCGTATGACTTCATAAAATTGTCGCATAATAGGAATACATATATATAATAGATTCCTTACATTGTTATGAAAATTTTACTACTTTAAACTTAAAACAAGTCTAGTTAGTTATTATGAAGACATATAAATATTAAAAAATCAAAAGTGTCTAACAAACAGATATCTGTCTGTTTATTAAGTCACCAAAAACAGGTAGTAATATATATATGTAATTTATTTGTAGTCTTTTTATACAAGGTACCTAAGTTTACAGCAGCCAATACACTTGTTGGTCGTTGTACCGTAAAAACCTATATCTCAAATAGTCACTAAGTACTTGTTTACTATTATTATACCTATACCTGTTTACTACTATTATTATATTCTATGTTTTGAGACAAGTTTCAGTAATTTTGCTATTTCTTTAAACCGGAATTTAGCATCAAACTGCTAGACAACATGAATTAAGGCATACAAATACCCTAATTAGATTCATAAATAAATTGTTCGAAAGAACGATTCATACCACCACAAACAAAATGTTAATATATTTTATAACCGTATCACTGACTGAAGATGATATCGCAGGTGTTAAGAAGTTGTGCCTCAAGCGGTGCAAGCGTTATTCCACAGGTTGCAATGACCAGTTATGGACTGGACTATATGCGACATCGCCGCTCTCATCCTATAATAAAAATACATCACCGTATAAAAAAATTAACAACTCAGCCTATTTACATTATTACAGCAGCTCAATGCATAAAATAAGTAATGAGTAATTTTGCCGATTAACATCAATGTTTGAGTGTCGTGATTATGAGAATAGAAGTTTAACATCTCTGGTTGTTTGAGTGTGTAAAGGCTACGGTAAACGTTTACAATCTGATGAACCATATTCTAGTTTACTACAATTGTAGTAAAAAAAGCAACATGCATTCTAAAAAGGTATGTGCATAACGTAGGTACCTCATAACATCTTACTATCTAATATTATAAACACGAATGGAAAGATAGATGCATCGATATTTGTTACTCTTTCACGAAAAAACTACTGAATTTTAATAAAACTTTGCAATAATATACATCATATTGTAAACAGGCTATAAATTTCACACGGATGAAACCACAGGCACAGCTCAGTAGTTGTAACATATACCAGTTACGATAGTGGCACGTTCATGGCAATATACCACCAGCGCAGACCAGAATAAGGGCCGCGTCAGTCCTAGGGACCATAACAAAATCGATTGTTCCGCGTGCAGGGGGGGCGGCATGTTACAAAAGAGGGGGGAAACATGCGCGAGCGCAGGAACAAAGCACGGGGCATCGACCTGACCGCGCTTGCCGCGGTCCTGGACAGACGGATTTTATATTAACCGACATATCTCGGTATTCTATAACACTTCTGTCGTCTAACCTTGTCGTGGGATTACCAAATCGTCCAAGTGGAAGCGAGATGGCTGCAAACTGGTCTAGCTCTGCATTTATGGACTAGGTTACGCAAAGTTTACAACCGTGTAAAACTCTCGATAAGTTCCTACTTAACAGAGAAAATTTCTTTCGTCAATGTAATTTAAATTCAAAGTAGGTATAACTATTAGAATAAACAATATGAAATACTTTTCATTCCTCTGCCACCTCTTATTTACATAGGTGCATTATGACTTATGGGTACACTGGACCCTATCAAAAAATAACACAGTCAATGATAATGTCCAAATCATTTTCTACCTTGATATAAAAGGCATAGAGATTATCACATTTTTTTTCAACAGAAGTAACGAACGTATATGAGTATCTCGATGTCTACAAGGCGAGGTTTAAAGGTGTTAATTTACCTCAAAAACAACTTGAAACAAGTTTTATACGCATATGATTTTTTATTATTTTATGAATTTAAATGTAAAGATTAGTACAATTAGCAGATAATGTCAGATATTCGTATTTATGGCTGTACAAAAATATTCCTTTGCACGCTTAGAGCTACATGGACCGGAGTTTGCATCAGACATTTTTAAAACAAATAAGAAATGTTACATACGAAGGTAGATAAATATAACTTGGTCCAACACTCCAGTCTCAGATTATAAAAATTAATAGTGCATATAATGGACATCGTATATCTTGAAAATTCTTTAGAACTTGAAGATGTGGAATCGTACGTAAATTCTAATTATATATTTTTCAAACATACAAACAAATACAGCTACTCTATTATTTTCTAAGAATAGTAACTGTTATTTTCTATTGTTCTTGTGATCTCTTTGCAACGTGGTGATGTCGTTGTATAGATCAAAGATAATAAGGGAATAGAAATTTATGCTTTTTATATTTTTACTTCTTAAAATTAATTATGATTATGATAAAATTTAAGATTAAAAAAATAATTAAAAATTAGAATCGATTACGTATCTAAGTAGATAAATGAGTACCTACAAATAATATGCTAAATCCTGCATGCTGGTCTTCGAACTCGAGGCTGTTACTGGAATTTAGATACGTATATTATTTTATTATTTATTAATTAATGACCATAAAATATTACCTACTTAAATCTCATATCTGTTCAACGTTCTACAACTGCCTTCATATACAATATCTAATGTTCTAAATGATCTAATCTTAAAAACCACAATTTAGAAACTATCTATCTATATTATCTATATCTAACTATCTATCTATCTATCTATGTGTATTTGTTTGTAATAGTAAATTACAAACTGTACTTTTTTATAATAACGTGAGGTCCGTAGTTCCGTTCATGTTTGGAGGCGACGGTTACCGAGTACTATCACAAGTACCGTCAGCTTGTTTACCGATCCCATAATATAAAACAATTAACACGAAATATAGTACATCGATTTCTTAAATTCTTTCACTTACATATGTACAAGACTGTATTATCAGCTCGTAACGTAGATTATATTCCACGTGTGCAGCACCTCTCGTGCGTCTAGTATTTAATAGTCGTAGTCATTTATTAATAATACAATTGCGTTAAAAAATTAATAGAAATAAATCGTCTAAACTAAATATAATCATTTTTGTTCCGTGACCATAACATTAAATTGTTTTTATAAAATATATTAATATATTAGTATTGTTTTAAAAAATATTGTAAATTGTTTCAGAGGCGAGAAACTCTACGTAACAGCGGATAAACGTGGCGAAAAAGGAGGTTGCAAGCGACCACTGTGCTGGACCCTGCTGGCGTTAGTGGTCGCCGCCATTATCGCCTTGATTGTACTGGCAGCAAGTAAGTCTCTCTCTTCCTAGCTATGTGTCCCAAATGGTGGTGGGGTCAGTTTTCCTTGTATTTCTCCGCTACTTTACTATGTCCCGGACAACGTCTTTAGAGACCTCTCACTCCATCATGTTTCTAGCAATTACATTATCAACATCCTCTCTGGCAGCAAGTAAGTAGGTATTGAAAGATTTTCTTGTAACACGTGATTACCTACACTTTTCAGTGTGAAACTAATTTTAAAATATAAAAATAATTTAGGTAAGATTTTTCTTTATTTATAGCAAGGAATCTAAGTTAAATATCAAAACAAGACTGGATTAAAAGTATATTACGTATAGGTATTAAGAAAACGGTATATGTACCTGTTAGTCTAGTAAAGATCTATAAAATTACTTCCATGCATGTAATACTATTGTCTATACAGGTAAAAAATAATTATTTTGAAATTAAGATGGTGCTTTTAACAGTTTGTTTTTCTAGTAATACCTATGTGTAGTCTAGTACATAGCCATTCATAGAGCAATCAAAGACTCAAATACCATAAATTCAATGTATGTATAGGTAGCGCAGAGGTCATCATCTGCTTCTTCCTTATCCAATTTATCTGGCATTTGGCGTAATATGTTTTTCTCTTCCATTCATCCCTGTTCGCAGTCATCTCGTTTTTATTTACTCCTAGCATTTCTTGCCATAACATCCTCCACACAGTTCATTTATCTCTTTTTCGACCTTCATCTGCATTATAACCAAATTTATATGGATAAGGGATAAGGGTAGAAAAAGGCAGTAGTGCAGAGAATATTTTTTAATTACCTACATCTAAACATGACTTCTTGTTACGTTTCAGCCGGAATACTGTTTACGAACTCGCCTACGACATTAGAGCAATACAATTCATCGGTCAGCTCCGCGCGCGCGTTGGGCGGCATTACCGTCGATGACGACCATCATGACCATGACCACAGTCACGATGACGGCCACGACCACCAGCACGACCACAACATGGACACGATGACCCAGCACCAACACGGACCAGAGACGCAGAGCGACGAAAGTCATCATCACACTGTTGGGTCGGAAGAGTCAACTGATATGTCTATGTATGGTAAGTAATAATAGAAATAAATAACCCTGGACAACTTACACAGCGCCATGTAGTGCATATCTATACCAGACCGTGTAGGTACTACAAACTGGTATTGAATAAAACATTAAATTAATAATTAGTTGCGACAATTACAATACTTCGGTAATTATATTTCGAAGTAAGACGTGTGTGCTGAACTAAACATCGAAATTGAGAAGTATGAGATTTCGCACACATATAGTTTATGTAGAAGAGTAAGGAATGTTAATTTTATTTTAAATTGTACTGCTGTACCTGGGACTTCTTCCGCGTGGGATGTAACAATAATTAGAGAATTTTTCTAAAGTAAAAGTAGCCTAAGTTACTCCTTATTACATGAGCTACTTGCTTTAAAAATCCCGTCAATATCGGTCCAGCCATTTCAGAGATTAGCCGAAATAAACATAGAGATAAAAATTTTAAAAACATGTTATTTTGGTATATGACCGTATTTATATTTATACCCATGTACTAAATTAAATTATTCAATAAAATACACACACTAGCATATATTCCTCACTCACGCATATTCATATAACTATATACTTTTTCGTTTATTGTTAAATTCTCTGGTCAAATTGAGAATTGATTAATATTGTTTGTCTTTTATTTGTCTATGGTCTTATTTAATGTTAAATTAATTATGGACGAATTTTGACCAGTGGGCAACCACTAGTGTTGTTAAATATGTGTTGACATAGAAGCATATTTATAGAAGTCATTTTATGATTTTTATGAATACTTACAGTACGCCAGCTACTAATTTATTAATTAATAACATTAGATGGCGCAGTAATTGTTTATTGAATACTAGCTGTTCCCGCGACTTCGTCCGCATGGAATTATACTTTATTTATTCTAAAATAAAAGTAGCTTAAGTTACTACTTATTACATTAGATACCTGCCAAAAAAATCCCGTCAAAATCGGCCCAGCCATTTCAGAGATTAGCCGGAACAAACAGACAGACAGACAAAAATCGTAAAAAGTGGTTTTTTGGTGTATGTACCGTATTTATATAGTAAAAACCGGTTATTTCTATATTACAAACAGAAACTACAATTTGTATTTATTTATATGTATAGATAACAAATAGATGTTTGATGTTTATTTAATATTGTCAATAGATAGTAATGAATAAATAGAAATATTTACCTTGTTTCAGTACCAAAAACTGTGGAAGGTGAACTCAGGATCGATAACGAAGAGTTCACTGATGCTATGCGCGATCCTGAAAGTCCTGAGTACCAACAATTCACCAGGACCTTTAGTGACGCTCTGAAGAGGTCGCTTTTCGACAGGAACACTTTGGAGCAAGGCGATAATGATATCACTGTAGAAGTTGTCGGTGTAAGGTCAGTATTTCAGGACTGTAAATCTGTATGGTTATAGATAGCTTACCGTAGCAGCGTAGTTTTGGTGGGTACCTCAGTCTCATCTACTACAATCGCCAAGCAAGCTTTGTAATTTGAATTTCGGCTATAGTCAGATCAGGCAGTGGAATTATAAGATAAGAGGCATGATATCTTTATTGTTTGGAATGGCATCACGGATACTATTAATAACGGAATATACTATTGGTGCATATGGACGAACGTTTACCATAAACTGGGCCGTCGGCTTGTTTGCCGTTCCAATTACATAAAGAAATGTGAAGTTTATTGTTTAAATGCACTAATCTCTGTACTTAGCAATGAGATTTAAAAATATCCAGGGCATGAAGGCGTCTCTCAGAAAAAAGTAGCTTGTTTCGGTGATCCATTACCGGAGAGGGAACCAGTAATATAAATTTAGGTATATACAAACTTTTTTGGTATTTAAGCTAGTGCTTAAATACCAAAAAAGTTGTAGTCACTACAACGATCTTAAATACGTTGTTACTAAATAGATTAACTCGTTATTATATTTTATAACATGCCTTATTTAGTTCCTACCCATATACAAGAAAGCGTGTATGCTTTATAATATTAACCGTCTATATTATTTTATTTACAGAGAGGGTTCGCTGATAGTAACCTACAGGATTCATTGGAAACCGAAGTCTATGGATCGTGAAACTGCTACAGAATTGTTAACGGCCGAATCACTGAAATCTAGCCTCGATGACTACCTAGACAGAAATAACAGGATGATAAACGTCTACCATATCGCCGAAGAAAAAATAGCCACAAGATTTGTTCTTGATCTGTGCAAAGTTTCGAACTACGACTGTCAATACAAATGCGAGTTCGACGAAACTACTCTTGATTTCACTTGCACGTGTCCACATGGCCAAATGTTAGATATAATGAATTCAAAAAATTGTGTGCATTTCCTAGAACAGTCAGTAAATACCAATACAGAAGAAAAACAACAAAATGAAAACGAAAGCTCACAAGAAAATGAATTCAAAGTTCTAAGAATTGGAGAGAATTCAAGTTCCAGTAAACCAGTTTCTATACCAGAAGAAGAAAAACCAAATACTGAGTCGGTACATGTTGTCGAAAATGGAAACTTTGATTGGAAAGAATCTCATCACTTCATTCCAGAAACAACCACAGAATCTGACACTGATATTAACTTTTCGCATGTATTTGGTAAATCGAACGAAGAAGACAACGAACAAACTCCAAAACCAGAACCGGAACCTACCTCTGAGCAAGAAATGGACTCTGTTCCTAAAGTAATTCCTACAGAAAAATCTGACCCTGAATCAATACCAGAACCAGAACCAACAGCAGAACCTCAACCTGCTCCAGAGCCACAACCAGACGCAGAACCACAGCCGGCAGCAGAACCAACAGCAGAGCCGGCTGCGGAACCAGCAGCAGAGCCGGCTGCGGAACCAACAGCAGAGCCGGCTGCAGAACCAACAGCAGAGCCGGCTGCGGAACCAACTGCAGAGCCTCCACCAGAACCAACGGTAGAGCCGGCTGCAGAACCAACCGCCGAGCCAGCTGCAGAGCCAAGTGCAGAGCCTGAACCAGCTGTAGAATCTATAGCAGAGTCAGAATCTGCCAGAGAACGACAACCATCAGAGCCGGCTCCAGAACCAGAGTCGAATGCAGAAACAACAGCGGAATCCGTACCTGAGCCAGAGCCAACTTCAGAGCCTATATCTAATTCTGAACACACAGAAAGTACACCTCCGTCGGTACAACATTATCAAAATATACATCTCGTAGCCGAACCTCAGCCACCTTCTGAACCACCGGCAGAACCTCTCCCATCCACCAGAGAAAATTCTGATATAAGAACAACTACTGACTCCTATTTTAATCCTGAAAAACAGCTAATATCTGAAAGGTCGACAGAACCTCAACACAATATAGAAATACAAGTAGAATCTGAATCAAAACTGGATACTGAATCCAAACATGAATCTGAACAAAATATACTAGAGAAGGTGCATGCTGAAGGATCTAGTGAAATGGAGAATACTCTTGAAACAACATCAATGAGAGTCTCAATATCGGAGCCGAATATTATAAATGAACCGTCTTATGAGCCAAAACCAGAAATAATTTCGATTTTAAGTAACTCTAATAAACAGAGTGATTCATCTACCTATGAATCAGGTGATAATAGTGAAGACTCAAGTAATGAAGATTGGTTAGAAAACGACAATAATGAGACTGTGTCTAATCCTATACAGAATATTAATAATAAAATAAACGAAGAATATTTAACACAACAAAGATCGTTAAATTCTCTCGACGAGTTTGTTCAAGAAACAACAACTGCCAAAGAAATAATAAATAATATTGATGGAGATATTTCATTTAATGATGTCATTAGAAAGCAAGAAACTATTGCACCTTACCAAACCATTACAGGAAGTACTGACAACTATACGGTAACAATAACTCCTATCATTGAGAAGAATGAATACAGTAACCCTGAAGATAAAGTATTAAATAATAATACATTAACAGAAACGACCACAATAGAAGCTAATCACACCTTATTGCACTCAATTGACAACAAAGCGGAAAATAATTTAGAAATATCTGAAAATGGAGATTCTACGAAAAAAGCTGTATTTGACCAAGCCAGACCATTTAACTTTGAAGAAAAAGAGGACACTACAAGCTTAGAGCCAGAGCCAATAACAGAGTATTCAATTAAAAACTATCCTGCAGAATCAGTGGAGGACAGAAACATATTGGAAGCTAATAACAGAAAATATACGGAATCAAAGGAAGTTTCAACAGAAAAAAATATACAAGAAGATGAATCTGACATAACTTTTGATAACATAAATACGCTGTACAATCGCTCATCTAAATCAATTGAAAATCAAAACGCCAGTAGTTCAAATGCTACTGAGTCCACTAATCATTTTCATAAAGATGTTACAACTACTGATTCCGATTGGTTATCAGAATCTGTCACAGAAGTTAATTATGAAGAAGCAGTAAATAAAATGAGTAAGCATGAAACAACTGAATCGAGTGTAAGTAGTAAAATGGATGAAATAATTAATAGCGGTGTCACCAAAGATGACTTCGAACCTGATTATTTAAATAACATGGGTTCGACGAGTACAAAAAATGCAGAATCTGATGTTCCTGTCTATGGTGTCAGACAAGATTATGATAATGAAGATTCTCGAGTCAAAAGAGTAGATAATGATATGACAACTGAATCCCTTTCTAAACAAGGTTCTACAGAAAACATTATTTTACATATACCTTTAAACAATTCAACTCCAATTATACCTACAGAAACTACTACTATAGGTGAATACATCTATCAAGCAGCTGAAAAAAATATAGATGAAACTCAAACTACCAATGAGCCTCTGATGAACGCTAATGTTAATCCTGCGCCGGTCTGGGAGGTATCAGAAACTGCAAATAGTACTAATAGGATACTGCCCGAAGAAATTAATAATAATACCACTATAGAAAATAATCAAACATTGTCAATTAGCACAGAAACCTCAACGACGGTAGTAGTAAATATGGAAAATATGGAAAATAGTGCGTACGAAAAAAATCACAACAGTCATAATTCTACACAAGGAAATAATTTAGGCGTTCAAATATATGAAATATCTAGTCATGTTGGTAATTATTCAAATACTGCCAATCAAACGAATGTTACACATTCCGATTCAGCTGAGTATAATGATCATGAGGTAGAGATGAATCCTTTCTTGCCAGAGGTAGAAAATAATAAACACCTTGTAAAAAAACTGCAAGAAGGTCACGATTTGGAACCAATAAATTTAAATGAGACTCAAAACGAAAATATCGACGAACATATCACAAACTCTTCAGAAAAACATACTTCAACCAACAATGATATGTTATCGGTAGTAACAAAAAGTGAAACTGTAAGTACTACCACAGAGTCTGACGCAGCAATTAATGAGCTAATGAATAACGAACCTCGTGCTCATAACATAGAAGCAAATAAAGAGGAAATCAGTAATAATAAATCAGAGTCGGGGCATGAAAATTTATCAACATTTTTACAAGATACTGACGATTTAGATATTTACGGAACCCAGATTCCTGGAACTAAAAGTATTGTAAATGAAGTAATTGATAATATAACAAATTCTACAACATCCACTTTAGAAACAACGCAAACAGGAAGTGTCGATTCAAATGATTACCTTAGTGTTGTTCCTATACAACTCGAAAAAACAGATGAAAGAGGAGCTCTTAAAAAGGATTATGAAAGTAAGAACCTGCAGGAGCTTAATGATATTAGTGATTCTCCAAAAAAAAGTGATAAAAGGACATTAGATGTAACGAAGTTGGATACAATAACTAAGTATGATGCATAGTATATTTCAATTAATGAGTAACTTTGTATTATATTCTGATCGTTTCCTGTGATGCTGTCGAACAAATTTTTATCAAACAGACTTTTTATACCAATGTATAATAGAAACAAGTTATTGATTTTAATTAGTTGGTTAATCTTCGTAGGTATAGACTCCAGCTACACTATTAATACAGTACCTACCAACTAAAGAATAGTAATTTAGATTTTGTCAATTGATGACACTTAATTTTATTAGACTAGTCAATCTAGAAAAGAGTCATCATCTCGAGGTTTTAGATTTATTTATTGCTTCACATAATACCTATGTAGGTACACAAAATAGTATTAGATATTTCCGAATGTTAATACTGCATACAGAAAGATATATGCACTCCAAAATATCCTATTATAAATTGTTACCATAGCTAAATGTATTATAATAATTATTTTAACAAAATTTATTCCTGATTGGAGAATTCAATTTATGTTATAATGTATTACATAAAATTTATATTTTCTCGTGAATAATGAAAATATTTTCTGCCATGCCGTATTGTGATAAACTCGCAAATAATAACTACATTCCAATCGTACTTAAATATCTTAACTTAGTGATATGCATAAGTGAGGTCTGATTGTAAAATAATATTATGTAGTATTTGTTAACTAAGATATATTTTGTATAAATGGTTGAAATTGTAAAGAATTACTTTGTAAATAAATATAAAAGTATAATAATTATAAAATTTAATATTTTATTTCAACAACAATAACTTAAATAATTTAACAATTTTAATTTATTTGGATATTCTATCTTTGGATATGTATAGCTGAAAGCATATAGATACTTTCATCCTTATAATCTATTACTACAACTTTTAAATAGTATTTAATATGACATTCTTTAATTATCCTACCTTTTTAATTGATATGATCCATATATTATACATAAATATCACAGACATTGATTCATATTAGTCAATAATTATTTGGCTGTGGGGTGATTTCATCAATTTCCTCTGCAGTCGTTGATTGATCATCCAAAGCCATTTTCGCACAAAGACATCCATCACCTATAGTACCATTTCCACTGACTATACATTTACCTAGAACACTCTTACAGCTGTTGAATGGCACAAAAACATTTTCATTTTGTTCTACAATAGTATTTTCTGTTGTCTCCGTATCAAATGTTTGCTCTGTCCTTAACCAACCAAATCCATGTTCTTTTCCCTGTTTCACACTATAATTATCAATGTTAACACAGTTTGTATCTCCTACATTAGTCATATCCAAAGGACCTGCACCACAGTCACAACCTTCACAGAATTTATTTGTAGTTTTTGTATTTACATCACTACCGAAAACATCTTCATTTGCTTCTTGTAATTTTTCTTTTGTATGCGACTTCACTGATTCACAACTATTTCCATCTGGTATCAAATTGTAATATTCGTCAACAGGAGAAGATATTTCGGTACACAAACAACTTTTTGTATCGGTGTCATCATCCATAATGCATCGACCTAATACTGATTTACAGTTTCTAACGGTAGAACTATCGAACTTATTTACACAGTTTTTTTCATAATTTTTAAATGTACTTGAATCAATTGTTTCTTTTAATGATGAATTTATTAAATTTAATGGAACATTACTATCTTTACTTGTAGTTGCTCTAGACTCTTCAGTTTCATTTTTATTTCGTATATCTGAAACATAATATAAATAGTCATAATAGTAAAGTAGATTCATGAATAACACTTATTTTATAAGTATATTTACAATGATATTACAAAGACAGGCTGTTTTCTATGTAGAATAAAATGTTTAATAAGTAAATAAAATATGATTACCTGAAACTTTCTGCCCATACGTAACATCACTTCCGCCACTCGAATCAGAAGATATCCCACTATCCACTTTATTTTCTAAAAGCATAAAGAAGAAAAACATTATAGAATCAATCCTTATTTTTAGACATTTTTGTGTGAATTCCTAGTACTGCACTAGCCCTAAGTTCTCAAAAGTTCGTTTTAGGATTAGCAACAGAAAACAACGTTCAGGGTTCCCCTTATATTGAAACTCTTGTTTGTCTAACACAACACCCATATATCATATAATAATATTTTATTCATTTATCATTTAATGCCCGAATTGTACAATATACTGTATTACTTATATAACAGATGTATGTGAAACATGATCTCTGACTGACTGAGAATCATGGAGACTGATTGGCAAAGTGTCAAAGGGCAATGGAGACGAGTATGATGAGAATCAGACTAAATGACAAAATCAGAAACTGGGATAGCAGACAGAGAAGAAAAGTTACAGATGTACTCTCAATAATAGACCATATAAAATGAAGTTGCACTGAGCATATGCTAAGCTGTAAATAAATGGAGCAAGCAAGTGACTCTCTGGTATCCTAGAAACGGGACCGAAGGACACCAAAGTATTACATATTGGATAGACAACATCAACATGACTCTGGGACCATTTGGAATAGGGTAGCACATTGCAGTAGACAGAGTTCAATGGCGACAGCTGAAGTAGTCCTATGCCAAAAAGCACACTGAGTTGCAGAAAATTTTATAAACCACAAAATTTTCCTAAACTTTGGGAAAAAAGAATACAGGCTACACTATTAGTAATAATTTATTAATACCAGAATTATGTGGGTACTCACTGTGAGTGGCAAGATGGCGTTTTCTTGCATATTCGTTGGAAAATTTCTTGGTACAATTAGGCACAGTGCAAAGCAACTTATTCTCATCAGGTTCATGGGTCTTCATATGGGTTTTCATATGGTGATACTGTATGAAACCTGGTAAATTAAAAAAAAGCATTAGGTGTTGAGTTATGGAACTATATAAACCTTGTAGTTAAAATTCTTCTGGAAAGTTAAATATGATTTAGTAGAATGTGAATAAATGGATTATGAACAAAATAAAAGATACTTTAATTAACTTTTTTCTAAATAGAAGGTCAATACATATAGACATACTCATGAACATAAATGTTTGCTAATTAAATTGTGGACCAGTGAATGATTTTGAAAGATAAACAATAGAAAAACTGAAAATAAAACATTTGGGACAATATTGTATTACAAAAATTAAGCAAAAGCCATTTAGGTAAGGCTATATGTAATAATAAATAACCTTTGCCACATGTTTTACAGTAGTGTTGTTTTGTTTTCGTATGGGTGAACTTATGATTTTTATAGTGATGGGAGAAGTTGAATGATTTGTTGCACCCCTCAACATTACACCGATATTCTCGTTCTGACTCTGGCTTGTGTGTTTTCATGTGAGTACGTAGTGCTAACTGACTGTTGAATATTGTATTGCATTCTGCACAAACACAGGTTTCTGTAAAGTAATAATTATATAAGTCTTCATTGCTTGCTAAAAACAATTTATAAAAGAACACATTGTTATATATAATATATAAAATGTGTAATATATAACAATATATATATATATATATATATATAATAAAAAAATACATATATTATGGCTATCAAAACTGATAGATAATTTTTTTAAGTTTGGAAATTCTTTTAGTGTTGGAATTATTGTATACCATTTCTTGAGGAAGTTAAAAATAAAGTTCATAAAACTGATTACTAAAACCACTTAATAAATATATAAATATTAATGTTGTTATTCAACCTTTATGTGCATATTTCATGTGCCTTTTAAGCAAAGTTTCATCAAGAAATTCCCGATTACATTCGGGGCATTGAACACTCCCGGTTCTCTCATGTTGCTTCTCGTGGCGACGCAGTGCTGAACTATAAACAACACATATCAATAATCATACTTCATGAAGTATATCAATTAGTTATAGATTAGTTATAGGTTGACAGTGTGCCTACACTTGTAACATGTCTGTCAACACTCCCATTAGCTTACCTCTCCAGATAATATAGATTTAAGTTGATTGTAAAGTCCGCATCAAATGTACATGATACTAATAAGTCATATAGCATACTACTATTACTACTTACTAATGTGCAATAAATAGTTTTATTTATTACAAGCTGTTCCCGCGACTTCGTCCACATGGAAATTAACTTTAATTTTCTAAAATAAAAGTAGCCTAAGTTCCTAAAAAAAGTAAAAGTAAGCCTAAATATACATCAGTTACCTGCCATAAAAAGTTCTGTCAAAATCGGTCTAGCCATTTCAGTGATTAGCCGGAACAAACAGACCTTCAGACAGACAGACAAAAATTATAAAAATTGTTATTTTGGTATATGTACCGTATATATATTCATATGCATGTAGTAAAAAACGGTTATTTCAATATTATAAAAAGACACTCCAATTTTATTTATATGTATAGATTATTTCATTTTATTTCATTCTACTCACTAGCTAGAAACTACAATAAACAATATAAATTATGTAGTGACACCTCATTACATATATAACAGTGATGAGGTAATAACTACTGAGCTACAATAGCATTTCAGTTAAAATCTTTATATCTATATGCCTATCATATATCTTACGACCATAGTATTTAAAACTTAATAATTACATTACAATAAAAGAAATGTGTAAAAATTATACACTCCATTACTTCATTTTGTATTTAGAATTAAATCTACAGTTAGTTTTATAGGAACTTAAAGTTATCATTTATTACCCCCGAAACGTTGAGAGTGAAATTAGCTCATTTTTACTCCCACACTTATTACAAAATATTCTACTATAGCAATACTAGGAATTATCAAACTGGTTTCAGCGGGTGATAACGATAAATGAAGAAAAATATAACTTACACATAACTAAAGAGTTTCTTGCAAACTTTGCACTGAAATGGAAAGGAGTGACTTTGTTCGTGCCGTTTCCTTTGGCTTTCGTACTTAAACTCCTTGTTACAGTTAGCACACACTAATAAATTCTTCAAATCAACTTTATCTGTCATATTGTTATTAATTTCAAAATTAAAATAATTTTCGAAAACACAACAGTTCAAGTAATTTATGTCAACTGCATCATTGTTTATTCTATTAAAGGCAACAATAAAAAGAAAAGACAATTTTAAATAGACGATTCTAAATTAATTATTTTTAAACTTTATAATACTTAATAAATCACAGACTAAATTATTTCATAATATTTATAACTGTCCACTATTAGGTATAGATTATTGAACTGAACGTCACATACACAATGATGCCAGACGACAAATATCTCCCAAATTTTGTACAGAACACCACAAACTTCAGGTTTTAAAGAAATATACTCGCAATGAAGAAATCCATAAAAGATCATATAAAACAATGTAGACATTTTGTTTGTTCTCTAAGTTTATTTCGATGTATTTACTCTCCTACTGAAATTAAATCCTCCCTCATTTCGGGGGAAAAGCCATAATCTGACGTAACTGGATATAGAGGCGTTCGATCCACAAAAAGTCATCATTGCCTTGCCTTTATCCCATTATTTGGGGTCGGCGCAGTATGTCATTCTCTTCCACTGATCTCTATCAATCGTCATATCTAAACATACTCTTCTTTTATTCATATCATCTTTCACACAATCCATCCATCTTTTCTTAGGGCGTCCCCTCCCTTTACATCCACAAAAAGTAATAAATTTAAAAAGTCGAAAACAAAAGTTTATTGTCTCTGTTCGGTAAAACACGAAGAACAAAATTTCCTTACATATATTTATGTAATTGATATATTATCAAAGCAACTAACGTTCAACACGAAGGGATACACGTATTTCACTTTACACTGTTACACTGTAATTTCACTGCTTTAAAGATAACTAATTTAAAGCAGTGAAATTATAGAGTACGAATCATGATATTAAATATAGCTGTATATAGCTGTACGCGCGACTTTGTCCGTGTGGGATTTTGTAACAATACTTTAATTTTCTAAAATAAAAGTAGGTATATTGTTGCCAAAAATAAAAGAAAACGGTAATGATAATAGTTACACAAATTTAAAGGGTTCTATGCTCGTCACTAGATGAGTACAAATTTTGCCGTGCCGAATGTCACTTCCCTGGTCTGGTGAGATGACATACGGGAATTTACTGCTGCGTTTGCAGTGAAGGGAGGCCGTGTGCTCTCAAACAGGTGCTACAGGTGCTACTGATTCTTCAGCAATTCTTATGGGGATTCTCAGCCCCTGATCTTGTTTACGGAATACGGAAATTTGCAACATTAATGTTATTTATATTATTGTTGCAAATGTTGATAAAAAAATATAATATAAGGAACTACGACTACCAACTCTTAATATACAATGATGATGATGATAGGTAATTATGTATTATAAACAAGAAGTCTACCACGAACATATATTTTTATTAAATTTTTTAACATCAATGAAAAGACAGATAAATTTATGTAATTTCATAATTCCATATTACCCTATTTTAAATGCTCGTCAATGTCAAATGTCATATGATGTCATTGTCACGTGGCGTATATATACTGTCAGATGTTGTTGACTTTTTCGTTTTCATTTTAATATTCAAAATTGTTTGAATTCAAATATTCAATAATGAAATACTCCGACTTGTAATTAATACTTATTATAACATTTTTCCAGAAATTACAAAATAAATTGAATTTATTGCAGAATAATGGTTTTTAAAATTACGTAAGTTTTAGCGGTATTAGATCAGAAAAAATATAATTATTCCATAAAAAATAAAAACTACGTGTACACGTTTCGAATTAAGAAATCATGCACATATTTGAAATTAATAATACCGTATTTGTGACAGCTTTATTGAATTCAATAACATTTACCTACATCAGCTCTGAACAATCGTATTCAGACAAAAAATTGTACACTTGACAATCGACCGCGTCTCATAACTGATGTGTATACAAGCGCTGTAGGTGCATTCAAGGTGAAAAGTTGGCGCGTGTTTTTTGTAATAAGTATCTTTTAATCAAAATTTCATACAATGCAAGATTGGATTAAAGTTACTCTTGTACTGTGCTTATTTGGTACTTTACGTGAAATTCGACCATCGGAGCCGTTTGTGTCGGAATTTTTGCTTGGAGAATGGAGAAACATTACCGAAGACCAACTCAACCGCGAGGTGTATCCCATTGGAACTTATTCATATTTGGGGCTATTGGTAGTGGTCTTCTTAATAACTGACTTCTTGAGATTTAAGCCAGTTATTATATTATCCGGTGAGTACATTTCAGTTTATTAATTCCATCGCTATACACATACAAAACCTGTATCATTATTAGTATTTGTAATATGTAGTTATTTTTATTTTCATGCTCCATTTGTAATTAAATTTACCAGGTTTTTATTTAGTGGTATATCTATGGATATAATTCATAATTGTAATAATTAAAATAATATTTAATCAAATTTAATAAGTAAGTAACATAGCTCAGAAAAAATACTCAAAAATGTGCAATTAATATTCAATGATGAGTCAATGTAAAGCAAGATGGAGTAATGATCTCAATTGAACTTCAAGAACTGGTTCTTATAACTGTCCATGAGAGAAGGCCATGCTCAGTTTTGAATTTGTAAAGCCAGAAATCATAGTGATCTTGATTATTTATATACTCACCTATATGGATCATGATTTAATAATAACATATGTATGTAACAAAACACAAATAGTTAAGAATATAGAAAAAGATGAGAAACTATATTATGTCATCTATATAAATATATAAAATTGAAGTTCCTGTCTTTCCACATCAAGCATCATCAGCTTTTCACTGAATGCATATGAAAGTATATACAGTACTTAAGTATATTGAAAAATATATTATAAAAATTTTTGACTATACTGGACCAATTTTAGAGGGATTTTCACTAACAACAGATAGTTATTGTTATAAGGAGTAATTTAGGCTACTTTTGCTTTAGAAATTTATATAATAACAAAATTGTATGTGGTACAAGTGCTCGGTAATATATAGTTTCATATAAAATACTATGGTACTAATTTGAATAATGTTGTATCTTATGTTTAACTATAGGTATATTTTTGATATTGTTTTCATTATAATTGATCAAAAAATAGTTTTCTATTCACAATCATTGCACCAAAAATAAATATAAACTTAGGTCTCTCTGTTACTATATTATACTTATACTAGCTGTCCCGGCAAATGTTGTTTTGCCTTAAAATAAAAAAAATTAAGGGGTGTACTACCCCTAACATTTAGGGAGATGAATAATAGATGTTGGCCGATTCTCAGACCTACTCAATACACTCACAGAATTTTATGAGAATCCGTTTCCGAGGAGTATGGGAACGAAAACTGTGACACAAGAATTTTATATATAAGATAGGTATTATAATAACAACTACATTGCAATTGCATTACAACTATTATTTTCATCAATATAAATCAATACTGGACATAAGTCCAGACAAACAAATATAAAATATTTATAGCTTCGAAATTATAGTTACCCATGTATCAATTCTATTTTGCATCATTAGTTCAATTCAAGATCATGGTCATGGCCATAGTAATCTATACTAATAAATAATACTATAGTCTGTTGGTCTCTTGTAACAGATACTTTTAAGTTGATTTTGGTGAAACTATAATAATAATATTTTCAGACAATTCACACAGCGCCATCTAGTCCCAAGTTAAGTTAGTCAAAGCTTATGTTATGGGTACTAAATAACTGATATAAATACATAGATTTTTTTATTTTCGTAAAAACATACATATTATACATAGAAAACACCCAGACTGGTACAAACAGTCATAAATACCAATGTTTGTGCCATGCAAGGATTCGAACCCGCGACTATCGAAAGTAAGGTGATGTGCTACACTGCTAGACCACTGAGTCCATCAAACCAATAATATAACCAGAGTTTGTGTTATGGGTATTAAATAATTGATGTAAATACTTATAGATTATATACATAAAAAACACCCAGACCTCCAACCTCTAAATAGCACCCATCCATGCGATGCCATTCACAGTCGTCGCATGACGACATGATGTCCTTAGTACTGTTTGTATGTACATAGGCGACGATTACCAGTTATCATCAAGTTAGCCGACGGATAGTTTGTCAATCTGACTATTTTAAAAAATTGTCTTGTATGCGACAGTATTTTGTAGATAAATAAAATACAACATGATATTCTTGTAGTGACAATAATTTTGTGTTATCCTTGATCATTCGTTACTTACTGGAGAGGCCTCCAGTATACATAATTAGCAAAAGCGGGGTCACCTTCACAAAAAGAATAAGTCCGGTTACATTCATTAACATAATACAAATGGAAGCTAAAATTTATATGGATCTACTCTAAGATGTAGATAACATTTTATGGATGATAATGAATGGTCCACACGCCTGCGCTATCGGTTTATGCTGGCGGGTCAGTGGAGGATGACAAAATGAGCATCAGGTCAGGTCAGTTAGCCCATAGTGATAAATTCAACATGAATTTATAGTTTTCAGGTGGAACCACGTGAAGGTCGACCTAACATGGTGCATTGCTAGCAATGGGGTTATTAGTCCACATTACTAACAATCCCCTTCTCACCTTTAGATTAAATTAGATTTTTACAATTTAATCACCATTCGACAATAAAGTTGTTGGCTTGTAAAACGTCATTATTGTTTCTTATCAACAATAGTCTACGAAAGGAAAATACCTTGATGATCTTTGTACGAGAGCAAACTTCAAATCTAAATCCTTTTACATTAACATTTAGTAATCTCTTAGTACATAATAAAGAAAATAAACTGTCGTAATGTGTATTATATTTGTAGATTTTTTATTTGTGAATGATAATGGAATGGTGCACCCGCCTGCGCTAACGGTTTACGCTGGCAGGCACCAGTGGAGGATGATAGGATGAGCATGAGGTCAAGTCAGTTAGCCCATCGTGACAAATTCACCAAGAATTTATCACGATGATTTCCTTGGGATGTCAACCTGACCTGGTCTAGCAATGTACCATAAGATCATCAGTCTACATTACTAACAATCCCCTTTCTTGCCTATATTAATAGGTAGACGTTTCTGAGTACCTTCTACTAATATTCATTATACTCGTATTAGTGAGAAGAGTTATTGCCAGTATACCTTCTCAGGATAACATCCACGCAAGGCGGGTGCAGCACTCCGTGTGCAAGTATATATTTATATAATATACTAGCTGTACCCGCGACTTCGCCCGGGTGGAATTTAACTTTATTTTTCTAAAATAAAAGTAGCCTAAGTTACTCTTTATTACATTAGCTACCTGCCCAAAAAAGTACCGTCAAATTAATCGGCCCAGCCATTTAAGAGATTAGCCGGAACAACCAGACAGACAGACAAAAATTGTAAACAATGTTATTTTGTTGTATGTACCGTATTTATATTCATATGCATGTAGTAAAAAACGATTATTTCAATATTACAAACAGACACTGCAATTTTATTTATATGTATAGATATAGTATGTAGAATTCGTCGCCTATATACCTACATGAACAACACCACAGACATTGTCTTTATTCGTCCATTCTGTTCCCTGTAATTTTACTGCCATATCTCTTCAACTGAAACACAGCACACCAAGCAAGCTGCTTGACGATTGACATTGTAGTGACAGCACTGATATCACACTAATATGAGACGCCCGCGATACGACTCACGCGTTGCCATATAACTAAGTAGTTATTATAATAATAAATGTAAATTATTACAAATTATTATGTGTAAATGTATGTTCATATCAATAATGGTTGTCAATAAATGTTTTTCTTTTCTTTCTAATAATAACCGTAGATAATCCACGCTGTGCTAAGCTAAGTAGCTTGAATATGGGTGCTGGATAACTGATATTAAATATGACACTCAGACCGATACAAACAGTAGTACTCATGTATACAAATGTTCATGTTAATGCACTGTGAGGAATCGAACTCGCGGCTATAGCAGGTGAGGCGATAGACCACTAGATAACCAAAACCGTCATCATATAATTTCACTGCTTTATCTCAATGTTTAATCGAATCACATCTGACAAAGCAAACAGCTTGGCGGCTTAAATAATAGTAGACGCAGACAATTTTTTATAGAATTGGTTGTATTGTTAATTATATTAGTTCTTTTTTTGTTACAGGATTAAGTGGTATCGCTGTGTACGCTATATTGCTATGGACAACAAGTTTAGAATGGTTGCAAGCTTCTCAGTTTTTCTACGGCCTCTATATGGCTACAGAGGTGGCGTATCTCACTTACATCTACGCAAAGGTAATTCATATCAATTTAAATATATTGTTTTATTATTATGTCACAGGCTAGTTTTATTTTTAACTAGCTGTGCCCTCGGCTTCACCCGCATGAAATGTATGCCCTGTGTGTTATTCTGGTGATCTATATTAGTGTAAAGTTTCATTAAAATTATTATAATTAAAATCCGTACAGTAGGTTTTGCGTGAAAGAGGAACAATCGTCCATCCATCCATACTTTCTGTTTTGTGATACTAGCGAAATAGCTACAAATAAACGAATCATAAACGTTGTTATAAAAATAAATTTCCAAAATTTTTTTCATCAGCAATCTCTGTATAAATTAGACTTAAAAGTAATATTATAAAATTGAAGATTTTTTATTTGGGTGAACCTAAAAATCCTTTTAGTGTCAGAATATACATAACTAATTTAGCGTGGACGCTACATCGAAACGATGGCATATAGATTCTTATATCCTTGTTGCTTATACTACTTACACCATGTAAATATATATCTAAATAATATATAATACAATAAATTATCTTTTAACTTTATATAATAGGTACGATAAGATTTTTATAAAAACATTTATTTAATTAATATTGTGTGGTGGTTAATATCGATTAATTATTATAACAATATTAATAGATGGATCTTTAACAAATTTTTGCTAGCCGGTTGAGCTAAAGCATAAACAAGGAAAGTAGTATCAATTTTGTATCTACTGAAATTTGTTTATATGTTTTTAACATCCAAAATGTTCTCACGTTATTTATCGATATCCATACAAAAGTATATATTATTTGTGACAAACGTAATCGCAGACGGCTACTAATATAATACGAAATCACAAGTAATAAAGTAGTAATTGAAGATAAGCCGACTATTTATAATAATTACTGACAAATAAATCCTTAATTAACAGAATTCGAGGTAGATAAGAAGAGTACGACATTGAACCGCCTATCAGATTTGAAGTTAATTTGTTTATTTTAGTGATAAGCCTGAGCAACAAGCAACAGCTGTACAAGCTGAGCCCGCGATTTCGTATCTATATTTTTTTATTTGTAAACCTTTTCGAATACAACCACAAAATTTCATGTGAAGCTCTCCACGTTACATCCGTGAAAACTGCACCGAAATCGGTTCAGCTGTTTGCGAGATATGCGAGCACAAATCCATAGATAAAAATTATAAGCACTCAATGTTTTAGGGTTCCGTTACGTTGATAGAGTAATCAATAATAAATTTTCTCATAAATGTTTCATGTATAATTTTTATTATATGAACATTTAATATTGATAATCTTTACATAATACTGATTCACTCTGGGTCCACTTTCTCGGGAACATAGTAATACGTGATAAAAAACAAATATAATGAAATCCAAAACGTCAACCCTTTCTATTTATCGCACATTGTACCTACATATAGCACGCAGCCGCGCACTTAATAACAAATAGCCTTAAGTTCAAAAAACTAATAGTAGGTATATTGGATAGGGTATTGATAGTAATGAAGGCTAGTGGCCCCATTGCTAGCAATGTACCACGTCGGGTTGGCCACGATGGACTAACTCCCCTGACTTTATACTCGCCCTATCATTTTCTACTAGTATCCCGTATAATTTTCCAATAGCCAGCATACACCGTTAACGCAGGCACCATAGTATTATCGCCCGTTAAAAAATAATATACATTTATTTTTTCAAACAGAGACTACCACGATCTAGAGTGTAAGAACATCGCTTTACCTCCGATGGTCTCGGGTTCGATTCCTCACACCTTATAAACATTTGTATTCAGGAGTATGATAGTTATCACTGGTCTGACTGTTTTATATGTATACAAAAAAATATCTAAATACTATATATGTATTTGGGTAGTTGTCTAGTACCCATAACTCAAGCTCTGCTTAGCTTGCGACTAAATCGCGCTGTGTGAATTGTCTCGGTATAAATATACACAATTTTACATTCTCCCAATACATTAGCATTGTAATTATTACTTTTTTGTCAGGTGGACTCCGCAAAATATCCGATGGTGTCGTCGTACACAAGGATCGCAGCGCTGACCGGCAGGTTCATTTCCGGCTTGACATCCCAACTTCTAACTCACTACGACGTTATGGACTATAGGGAACTGAACTACATCACTTTTACAGGTGATTACACGTCATCATAATATCATTATCATCATCATAACAATGGAGACCGTGATATTGTGATATGTTTTCTCTAGAGATTATACCATGGTTATAAGGGTCGATAACTCGTACTTAACACCCTTGGTGTTTCAGGCGTCCATAGGCCATGGCAACTGTTCACCATCAATTGATTACCGTACCGCCGTATTGTCTCTATTGTGATATAAATAAAAATGTATCTAAGTATTTACATATATTACTTGTATAGTACCCTTAACACAATCTGCTTAGAACTAGATGGCGCAGTGTGAATTGTCCAGGGATATTATTATTATTACATTAATTAAACTTCAATGTAGTGTTACGTATTGAAGTTCAAGCCTAGAATAAAATAAAAAGCGCCGTCATAACGACGTTTGTTTCAGCTCAGATCCTGGCAACATTTTGGGCGTTCTGGCTACCTCCCGTCCAGTACGGGATATACTTCCATCGGAAGGTGTCCATCGGCAATCCACTACAGCAAAACTCGAAGGCGTTACATGACAAACAGCCAACGCCTGAACCTAAGGTATTTATGGTTCTATTTCCAAATTCAATATGATCTAGATGTTGCGGTTCGTCGTTTAAATTTATCGTGTGGCGTTTTCTAAGACATCGTTTAGTCCTTTTAGTATTTAATCTGTGAATCTATGTTATGGCTTATTACATGTGTTTATTTAATATAAGCTGTGCCCGCGGTTTCATCCGCGTTAAATTTAAATATAAAATATAGCCTATGTGTTATTATGATGCATAAGCAATATTACTATAAAGTTTCATCAATAATATTATTAAAATTAAGATATTTTCGCACATGGCACCGATATATTTATACTTTATATCTCTAATCGCCTCTTAGGACATGCTGGATTCAAAATCATTAGTGATATACTGTGTACTTACACTATCAACAATCTGATAATAAAATGTATGTATTTATATAATGTTCACAAATAGCGATCTTTCCGAAACAACGTGGTAGAAGCATCTACTCTGATCAGTCGTCACGCCCGCGCTGCGTACACCCGGCCCAAAGTGCTTGCGTGGTCTGCTCTATACGCTGCCGCGTTAGCACTGTTCGTACAAGCTCAAACGTACGTGCAACTACTTTGGAAGCAGATTCAAGAAGAAAGTCATGCACCGGTTAGTACAATTTGGACTGTCTCATTTTATTGATTTGTTTATTTACTTCAGGCAATTTTATATTATTTATATAACAATATTGTTTCATATTATATATATCTTAAGGACTAACATGTATAGAAAATAATAAATCATAAAGTAAAATGATAATATTGTACCACAATCACTACCGCCGTTAACGTGGCAGATTGTAGGTAGCGGCGGTACACCACTCTCTTAGTACGCGGACGGGTCAGTAGTGATGAAGGTGGCGACCAGGGCCACAAAACGTAGTGAAGCTCGCGTTGAGACTCGATTTAGGTTTAGGTTAGTCTTGATCCAGATATAGTCGACGATGTCCTGTTCCTTCCGGTGATATAGCATACATTAAAGCACTTTAAAGTCACAAATATGGCTATATCGTTATATATATCGCAAATAGATAAGATTATCAATAGTATAGATTCAAACAGAATTCCAGCTATAGATAAAATATCTATGAAACTATACAAACACATTAGCATAAGTAGAAGTTAGCGAAGTAATTAAAAGCGGGACGATATATTCTTCTAAAGCGGACTGGAGCAAATTGTTTTTGTTTTATAATATAATTTTTGGATTATTGCAATTCTCCATTGCAATTCATCAAACCTGCTCTGTATGATTTTCTAATACACATAAAACATAATGTTATCTGGGTTTATTATAGCTTATGGCTTATTATATTTTAATTATATCACAGATTACTCATTTTAATTATTCGCCGCTTTATCATGTAAATTATCATAATAATTATTAATTATGATAAATTCCTGATGAATATATCACGGTCTTGCTGACCTGGTGGTGTCCTGGTTCCCCGCCAGCGTATACCGTTAGTGCAAACGGGTGCACGATTCCATTATCTATACATACTAATATTATAAAGCTGAAGAGTTTGTTTGTTTGAACGCGCTAATCTCAAGAACTACTGGTTCGAATTGAAAATTATTTGTGTTGGATAGTCCATTTGCCGAGGAAGGCTTTTAGCCATATAACATTACGGTACGACTAATAGAAACGAGGCATCGGTGAAAAATGTTGCAAAAACGGGGAAAATTATTCGTCATCAATAAAACAAATGGGTCGTTGCGTGCAGGTGGCATACAACGGTGCAGTGGAAGCGGCGCAGACGCTGCTGGGCGCCGGCGGAGCACTGGCAGCATCTAAATGTGCGGGTGGAGTGGTTCCCGCGCCGGCCGCTGCCATACAAGCGTTGGCCGTGCTAGCCGGCACTGCAGTACCCAACATCTTCGTCTCCTACGCCGGCTACATTGTCATGGGCACTCTGTTCCATTACACCATAACACTGGCCAGGTATTACTTGTCTGTAAGGTTGGCTACCATAATCGTAGTATTAAAAAAATGCATTGGTCCAGTGTACTCTTTCCTATTTTATTTTACCCTCTTAAGGGTAACATTTTACAAACTTTGAATGTCATATTTATACTATAATTAATCAAGATTCAAATTTCTAGCTTTAAGAATGACGACACTTCCATACAACTTTCAACTCCCATTTCAACCCCTTACAACCCTTTTTCTTTTTATTCATACTATAGCCTAAAAATAAGTCTCAATATTCTAGCGTTAAAAATGACAACACTTCCGTACAAACTGTCATCTCCCCTTTTAACTCCTTACCGCCCTATTTTCGCATTATAAAGTAGCCTAGTTCTCAGGGTCTAGACTATCTGTGTACCAAATTTCATTTAAATCGATTCAGTAGTTTTGGCGTAAAAGCCAGACCGACAGACAGAGTTAATTTCGCATTTATAATATTAGTAAGGATCATTTATTTCAACATAAGTTTATCTTTTCCAGCGCTAAAATAGCTGGCCAATTAAGTGACGAAAGTTGCTTCGGCTTGATATTTGGTATCAACACGCTACTCGGCACCGGGTTCCAGGCGATCCTCACCTTAGTACTCATCCAGAGCCTCGTCCTCGATATATCGACGCAGTACTTCGTCATCAGCGGACTGTTTCTCGTTCTCGCCGCTGTCTGGATGGTGGGCTGGACTATAAACCAATGCAAAAAGAGACAAAATATAGTAATCAACAATCAGTATTAGATCGTACCTTACCTGGTAATTCATACACATACCATTTCACAGTTAAGTGCTGTCGATATTGTATACATAACCTATACCTTATGTTGTAACTGTTCTTCATTGTGTTATATAGATACACTGGTAATTTATTTGTTTTTATTCCTGATAAAATCATAATTTAAAGAAAATCAATAAATTACCAGTAAATCTAAATGTACAGCCAGTATATCGTTTCTTATCGCATAATAATTATATGTAAAGCTGTAAGCGTCACTATCATTATGTGTTATGGTGTGTGTTGTAAGAAATGTATTGTATTTTATTCTAAGAAAAATTAAAAATTATTACCGATTAAATCGTAATAGCTGTATGAACTATTACGATTTAATCGGTAATAGTTTTTAAAAGAACCAGTTTGATAAGTACTACCGATGTGCAATATGTATATTTATACTGAATACAGAATATTAATTATTCAGATATAATCTGAATATATAAAATAGATATATATGTATAAATTTTGGGAAGGGGGTTTTAGATTTGACTGATACGGGCGTAAGTTACAACTTTAAAACATTTGAAAACTGCGAGCAATTTTTTTTTATAAAGATTAACACGACAATGATATGACTTCAATATAAAGAATAAAGAAAAATATTTGTCATTACGACCCTAATCTATTCTTCTTAATAAAGATATCTGGGACTCAGATGTCCCCATACACGCAGGTGGCTATACATTTAAGTTTCATGACTGTGAACTAAATTCACAGCTGTTATAGTACTTATTATTTATTTAAAAATGGGTCCTTGTTACTTAAATTGACATTATGCTTTATTTTTTCTTTGTTCATATCTGCTATTAGTTTTATGTGATGTATACGATTTGATTTTTTAGATCTATTGGTGATCTCTGGCGGTTTCAATAAGATATTTTCAATTTTAAGAGTAATTTCGTAGCATGGATAGGGTTTAGGAGGAAGTATCCCATTGTTATCGCATATGTACTTATTCATAACTGGATTTGTTAAATTAAAATTATCTAAATTCCTTTTGAACGGATTTTTATATTGTATAATAAAATTCTGTTTCAAATTTCACCTTTTTAGACTTAGTGATTTTGGCTGTGTTGATAGATTTAAGAATCCATTCTGAAGCAATGATAAGACATTATTAAACTTACTATATACACTTATTATTACATAAAACTAACTGGTATAGCCCATAGCCACTGTAGAATGTTATGAAATTATAGAAATACTCTTTAAAATACATTGGGCAAATACGGTACATAAGGTCTATGCCTTACCCGCGAGCAATAACTTAATAAAATTTTATCGCTATTGAATTTACTGCTTGTGGAAGCATATACAATAACAGAAAGTATTCATTTTTATAATAGATTATTATATTAAATGTGTTCTCTGCAATTTAAATTTGATAGAATCTCAATGACTCAAATAGTGCATAGACAAACCTCAGGCCATAAGTTATGCTGCTATTATACGGCGACATTTCTACGTCTCCAAATTCTTCAGTAGTTCCCAAGTAAGGCTAAAGACCTGTGCACTTTTGAGCGGCAAAAAATAAATGTATATGCTGTAGTTTTTATTCCACGATAGTCGCAGAACTGACGCTAAAATTATGGCGAAATGCAATTGTCGTCGTATTGAAACCAGTTAGAACAGTGATTTGCTGCATTTTATGAGACTTTACCTAAAGATCTCTGTGTGAACTTAATAAAAAGAAGAATGTAATGCATTCATAGACTGAAATTGTGAATCTTCTTTACACATTGCATTTTAATGTTGGTCATTTTAATGATTTTATGACCATATGTTATATCGTGTTTAATTAAATTTAGACAATATATAAATATATAGACATATGAACTGACAGACCGATTCTGAAAATTTTATTATAACCGCTTGTTTTAACATTTGTTGTTTTGACAACTTCCTCCTAAAAAGATATTATAATATATAAAGATATATATTTATACTTATTCGACTAGAAGTCACCAATATTTAGTGCATTTATAGTGTATAATAGTATAGTATAGACAGCTTTTTATTATATAATTATATTTTAGATTATCTGTGGTACATGATAATGTCATGTATAGTGATAATAATCATGGTGTTGACCTCAGTGGGAGATCTGCATTGATTTTACTAAATAGCGGACTCAGACTGTGGTTGTTCATTATAGACTTGTTATCGCCACATTCGTTCGTTTTCTAGTTATTCCTAATGCAAGATATACTAGCTTGAGGACTATGCAAGATATACTAGCTTGAGGACTACGCAATATATCGTACGCCTAATATATAATAATAAACTGCATTAACTGAAAAAAAAAAGTTCATCCATTGGTTTCTAATTGGTTAAATCATTCTAAGGTGACATCTTCAGTCTATCTTTCCAAACTTGTATTTTTTTAGTTAAATCAGTTTTAAGCGTGCGATATAGGTAGTATGACTGTATTGCTCTTATAAAGTATGTTCTGTTTTTTTATATGTAATATTTTGTAATACAAGCTTGACATGTTTTATACAAAAGTTTTTCCTTTTATATTTATGATTGTTTTTATAATAATATTAAAGCTCTTTACCAATTTTTCTAATACAGAATGTACACTAAAAGAACTTTACTTGTACTTACTATACATTATTTTAATGGAATGTTCCTTTATAGTTAGTTTCTTCCAATTAGTTATTTAGTATTAAGTCCATTCTTTTATTTTGTTTATAATATAATCTCTATATGATTATAAAAAAGACTACCATGTTTAAAAAAATGGCTGTGGTCTGAATATTTAAATTTATACAGTATTGAAAATATTCTACTTTTTAAACAGTTTAATTTTATACAATATTGTTGAATTCAAAAAAAGTATATATGTATGTTCAAAATTAAATAGAAGCATTTCTGGTGGTCATGACCCTCAGCCTTGAAGAATCGACAAAGCAGATGTACAAAATACAGCTAATAGATCTTTTATAAATATCTTTTAATAATAATTCAGTCTTTTTGGGCTTGAACTTGACTTGATGGAAAGTGGTTAATAATTCCCGTTTTAATCAACAATACTGTAATATACTGTAAAATATACCATACAATGTATATGGTATGGTAAATCATTTGACACAGTATTAATTTATTACTGTAATGAAAACATGTATCTTAAAAAAAATCTTACATTAACCTTGTGCATCATGTTATAAAAAAATGTGTTATAAAATCTCATTTCACTAAGGCTAAATTCATTCATAAAAAAAAGTGAGACATTTTATCTCAACATACTATAAAAATATTTTGCATAACTATGCATAATTAAAATCAAGATATATGAATAATAGAATGTCTTCAGTTATAATTTTAAATATATGAGAAAATATTAAACAATGTATTTTATTTGGATTTATTGGAATTTTATATTTAAAATAAGCAATATGTACTTATCTGATACACACTGCTTATTTTAAGTACATAATTCAGCATAAAATATTATATTCTTTAAAACAGAAACAGTGACAGACTGGCATTTAGATCTAGATAGTATTAGCATAGGAACTATAAATCGGAATATCCACATTATAGCTAGTGAAAGAAACTACCATTTTACAAGCCTATTGGTTCAACCAAACTAAAGGGTAGTTTGGTATGTAGTAAATAATATTACAATATTTCTATTCATTTACTACTATGAATATAGAAACATTGAAACCAATTATGATAAATATTTTGTACAAAAAATATAAAACTTGTTTCATCAATGATAAAAATTAAATTCTACAGATAGTACACATACTTATGAATAGTATCTGTAGAATTGATAGATATTGCCTATCTTTTAATCTCAATTCCAATTATGATAAATATATAACAGTTCAAACATTAGAATAATGAAATTCAGTTTATATTTCTGAATAAATATATTTCATAATCTATTATTTACAATTCATCTGATATGTTTAAAATTATGGAATGTTACTCAAAATATACATTTAATGAAATAGTTTCAAATTGTCAATATTTTTTTACAATACCATTCCATTCATTCCATTTCACAACCATTAATATTTAGTCATATATTTTCGAAAGTATTGGTATCATTCTGAAATACTTTACTATGTAATAAATAATTATGTACACTATAGTATTATTAGTGGTCCCATCAGATATTGTTACGCATATTGTAATGAACTAGGTCTTGTTTTAAAATATACATAGGTGCAAATCAAGATGAATATTACAGCAAAAGTTGGCAAGACAATCGTATGGATCTGTTGCCTCATTTTAGCAAACTCCTGCTTCCTTTCTCGCTTTTGTTTAGCAGTTTCTTTCACTGTTCCTTTAAGTTTCCGCATGATTAAGCTGTAAATGTAAAGAGAAAGTATTGTTGATTTTTTTGTGCCACGTATATTCTTGATAATGGTCAATATCTACCTACCCGAAACAATAAATCGATAACGCAAAAAAAGTATGTGTTTATTCACCTTGTAAGTATACAGATATGTATAATTAAAATCAACTTCAAGATTAATTTATTGTTTTAATTTTGCAGCTTTTCACATAGAATAAAACATTGAAAAGTCGGCGAACTGTTAGTAAATGTGTCATTTTCTATCTACGTCTGACATTGACAGTTCTCACTTGATACAGTTGTATTTTAATTTATTTATGACCACGGATACGAGTCCTTCTGTCAAATAGATCTTTAGACACTCGATAATCGATAGTATTATTGTCAATTCGTAATCGAAAAACTGGTAAGTGGTCATAATAGTGCCGCTATTATTAATTAGCAGCACACCAAGCCATAAAAATGAAACACTGAACAGTATTATGTTTCTTGTACTGAAGTCAATTCCGTCATGTAAACCAAAAGGAGGGGTACCAAGTGTTGATAGGAAAAATAAAAATAATCACAATAGGAGCAAAAAATAAAAAATCAATGCTTTAAAAATATTTACTTATATAAAATATTACAATCGATAACCTTGGCGTGATTTTCAAATTGAGATTATTAATGTACTTAATAAGTAATAAATACGAATAATAAACGAAGAACAATAATTACTTCTTTATTAATTTTTCTTAAACAATGCTAAAATTGGGATCGCCATTAATATAAAATATTATGGTTAAAATTGTTAGCACGCAGTTCTCGTCCACGTAGTAATAAATGAATTTCGACTTTACTTATTTATTCACAAGCGTCTACTACGCCATGTCCACTGCCACCATGGTTTTCAACCAATTCTTTACCGCCAACTTTATAAAACACTGTTCTACCTTTGGTTAGATAATTATAAATCCTATTTTTAAACAGCTATTTATCTCACTCTAAGTTCCATACACAGTTTATATGTCATACAGTATATCTATATTAATTAGAAATAAATAATAGAGTAAGTACTACACAATTTAAATAAATATATAGACATAAGAACAGTATACGTATTTTTGTTTTACTATCGAACCCTTCAAACTTTTTATATTTTTCTGATATATTAATCTAAATAGTTATATGTGGGAGTTTTGTAGAAGAGTTGTCTTTAAAGATATGAGGTCAATTATATACATAATCAAAGTTGTATGTTTTAGGAACACAAACCATTAAAAATGAGTATACATAACATAATTTATACAACACTGACAGTCTCAATAGATGAAAGTGTACCTCAAATGTATATCCTCAGTTTTTTTTAACGTTTTAGGTTTCGACAGCCGATTACAATTAATTCTTAATGATTTCAAAGAAATTTAATATTAAATTCGTTTTCACATAGTCTTTTCCCACTGTTAACGTAATAAATTATTTATAATAAAATGCTACTTGTGGCTAATACTTTAAACATTCTCAGATTATTAAATAGTCTGTATGAAACAGCCATGTAAGGTGATGTAAACATTAATAATGATACTTGACAGGTAGTCAAGACTTTGTAGTCTTAATTAAAATTTAAATTAACATCATTCAATATTTTATGTATTTTAATACTCTTTTCATTCAATTCATTAACGATCATAAGTTACTAAACTTATAACTTAGGGTTGCCATTAGTCCAGATTTTGTACTCTTAAAATGATGGCGATCGACTAGGGCGTTTTACAATATATGAGTTGATTTTAAAAGAACTTTAATATTTTTTGTAATGAATAAATTATTTATAGGATACAACCAGGTATTGGTAGTTCTGATGCACTCTGTGTTCACTTTCATAAAAAGCTATGAGATACGAGAGTACATAGATAAAAAAGTAATGTTAACTTACGGTAATGATTAGGTTGAAGCCTTATCAAATGTTTTTATATGAAGTATTATAAACTAATCTATAGTATTAAGCTCCTAAGGCTAGATACTAGAATCTATTAAATTTCTTGTAAAATGTTTGTTATTTTCCACATGGCAACCCTGGTATAGCATTTATAATGCCGTTTAAAAGATTGCAAGTAAATTAGACATGGTACTCCCCACCATCCAATTTTTCATCAGACAATGACGATAATATACTCGCTGATGCACTTTGTGAAAACCATATAAGTGCCATGAAAAGACCTTCCAGTAGACCCACACCAGCTCCACAAACCACATCCAGTAAATAGTGACGTTCCTGTAATACTCTTGATATGGACACTGCCGTAACCCAGGCCAGTAGGGGAGGATAGAATATTATTGAGATTGGATTCAAACAAATCAATATGAACGCGACTAGTACAGCTCTGCTGGTGTGACCTGATGGGAAAGAAAACTTATCAGGGCCAAGCTCCATCAGCTTGTTCATGGGCACAGGCCTTCGTCTTCTTACAAATGCCTTGATTACTGCTATTACTACTATGTCGAGGATGAGTGCTGAAAATTAAGATTGTTAGTGTTAGCAACAAAGTAATATTGTGGAAATAAAATTAAAGTGATTAAAATGTATTATTGAAAACTCAAAATACATTAAGGAATGTTGGTAAACATATTATTAGAAAGGGCAAATAAAATTATATATTAACGGCATCATATTTTGAATTTAGAATTTTAAATCAAATTTTATTATTTTTGAAGAGATGTTTAGTTTTAAAAATTCTTTATCAAGATTTCTGATTTTATACGTAAACTTAGGTTGTGACACTATGAATAAAATATTTTTAAAACATCAATATATTTATGAATCTGTATAATTTTTATTTTCAAAATGACATATTTGTAACTGTTCCTTACCAATAAACATATTTACTTGCAATTGATACAACTCTTTGTTATTAAACAGCCATATGAAACTGAGCCAACATGCCAGCCACACTATTCCATGGCATGATACCTGTAATAAAAATTTACAGCTATTTGAATGGGTATATTCATTATCAATTTTACTACTTAATGTCTTAACAGACAATTGACTTTCAATATAGAAATATATTTATTACAATGTAGTTATATACTTCTCATAGATAAGTAATTGATTATTTACATTTACTATTCTCCTTTGTTTTTCAACATTTTTTCATCCATGATATATTGCTGTGTACATCAACATTAGATGTTGTGGTGTGCAACAATTGGTATTAACAATACCCCTTTGATTAAGAGTACTTAGGTACATGTAGATTAAACGATAATAAAGCTAATACTGATTAAGATACCATATCATCGACCATAATTATATTTTTGTTTATTATTACCTCAAATAATTTTGCATGATTCCGAAGGGATTTTAGTGTAGTAGTCCTAAGAGCTAAATCAACAAATTTCTTTGTAAGTTGGACATCATATTGTAGAATTCTTTTTAGCATGTTTGGCACTTTGCGCTTCTCTAGGGATGTTCCCAGCTGAAAATATTAAGTTACATTAAATTATTAATATTACTAGCTGACATGGAGATATGTTTTGTGGCTCAGTAGTACTAACATTATATTCTTATTTTGTTTAGTTTAAAAATTTGTTAAATCATTCTGATGATTTGTACACATAATGTTATTTGTAAGAATATCGTAATTGGACAATGTTGTCAATATTTTGCTTTACAAATAGTGTAAATTTAGGCTTAGGTAATCTTTAATTGAAGAGTTTTTCATAATAATTTTTAATACTGATAATGTAAGACACATTAGCATGAGCTACATGGTTCTTACACCATGCATATAGTACTTATACAAGATTTACTAGACTGATAGTTTATATTTTGTTTACAACAGTTTACAATGATCTAAAGAATCAGCAAATATATCATAACAAATTAATTTTCTTACAAAGAATATATATTTTGCATATCTAGTGCAATACTGCTGTAATTAAAAATTTTAATTTTTTGAAATTAGACTTCAATAAAGACTTTTATAAAGTAAACTTTCTAAAATTTGTAATTTTTGAGTTAAGCCAGTATTACAATAAGTGTGTGATTTGTATGTTATATTAATTTTCTTAGTGGCCACAGGTTAACTGTATATAGGTTAATTGATAGTTATAGTATGATTGCAAATTAATTATCATCATATAACCTTTAAATGTTTGTCATGTTCATGCATTCATATAATACAGTAGCTGTGTGTTAATCTATTTAAAACAAATGAAAGATTAATATGCAAATGCAGGCCGCCTACTGTTGGCATCACTTTGATGATAATGACATCATCATTATTGATAGCATATCTATATGGCAGTTAACTGACAGTGACTATGAGCTTGATCACATATTCCCAAATCTAATCTGAGTAGAATTAAAACTGGAACAGCAATAATAACAAAACTGAACAATTGTAACATATCTCTTAATTGAAATTAGTAACAACAACTCTTGACTTATTTGGAAGTGAGAATGACATGTGTGACTCGGATATTAACTCTGGTCATCACAAACAAAGCACGACATCTATTAAAATGGGAATGCATTAGATGAGTCTCTTTGAGGGCTTTTTTCAATATAATTGTTTTTCATTATTTCAACCTATTAAGTTTCTTCAAGTCCTTAGCCATTGTTTACTATAATATATTCAGTGATAATAGATGGAATTAAGTGCTCAGTTTTTGATTGCTGCCAATTAATGTATTGGACCATCCACCATAAGTCAAATAATTTTGAAAATATAAACTGAATTATTTAAAATTTGAGTCGGGGCATGTGCGATAACCCTATCTGCCATATGGATGAAATTACACTAATAAATATATTGGACGATACAAAATAATAGTTGGTGTTATATAGGTCATAATATTGTTAATAACTTACCTCCATACTGACAATGTAAATAAGAGAAAATCTTCAAGAAATATTAAAATATCACGCAAAAATTGTTTAGACAATGAACAGGTGAAATAGCAAGTGATGACTCAATGTCTAGCCGACAAGACTTTTATGATTTTGAAGAATACCGGGGCCATGCACTTTTTAGACTATGAGTAGTAGTTATTCAAAAGACCCTGAAAAATGGCAGTAGTGTTCATGAGAATTTGATAAACAGAAGCAGTCAAATAATTTAGCAATCAATAGGAAAAAAACCACGCAATATTTAAATCATAATTATATTTACTTTTATTTACCAAAATACCTTAATGAAGTATTAAAGAAGAGAATACAGACTATTCAGTAACAGTCAGCAGACTTTGAGTTATTTCACAGACCAGCAGACAGACTTCAAGCAATTAAAAGTCAGAGCACAGATTAATTACTTTTGCACAGATCTGCTCGATTACACAGATCTTAGAGTAATCGATATCCTATTAACATTAAATAAAAACAAGGTACAAAGTTAAACAAAACCAAACGTCTAAGGAATTAATATTCGATTAAATTATTTATTAATATTTTATATACATAATATGACATCTCTACCTGATTAGTATGTATTAGCTACATATTATTATATGTATGGAACGCTCAAAACAATATTTACAGTTCATCGGAGCTTTCGATACACTGTGTATAAAATTACTTAGCTCAAGAAATTTTAAACGGTATCGTCGTCGTTATTTTTCAGTTTAAACCTCTGATTAAGAGGAAACTCTGTTTCTACGAAATCTTTTTTTTATTTTTAAATACATAGTAACTTCAGTAGTGTCAAATAATATTTTTATTAACTATATATAATAATTTGAATTTATATTGTCAAATATAGTACAAATATGGAGTTCTTTGGATTAACTACATATGGCCCTCAAAACTATATACAAGATATAATGAATAAAGAATATGAAGAGCCCTCTAGTAAGGATGAAGTAAAATCGTTAATGCAAAAAATTATTATGTATTCTACAATACCAAAACAGGTACACCACAAATCTAAGACAATTTTTAAGTACCTATATTTTGAATTCAACATGGTAAGCCAAGGCGAGCCTATCGCCGTCTTTCGAATATTTTTTTTTTGTTTGTTAACAGGGTCTCCTACTTATTGTCGGCTAGGTTTGAGCTCACCACCTCTTGTTGTAATTTAGGGCAGTCAACCAAAACCTAAAAATCAATAAATAACTCTTAAACAATAATAATCTTTTTTTTTATAAATTCAAATTGAATTTGAATTTATAAAAAAAATATTAATTTTTGAATAGGGGCTGTTCAAGTATTACGTAAGCAGATTTATCACAATTATTTACCCCTCATCCCCCGTTGTTAGCAAAAGTAAGCAAAGCTCTTACCCCTCCCCCCATGCTTACGTAAACATCTCTCAATTAATGTATTGTTTTTTTAACAAAGACAATGTGAGGGTTGCCATTCGTGTAAAAAAGTAAATTACGACCGATGACGTAATCATCATACAGACTCCCCCACCCCCATGTCATCCAAAATAAGCAAAGAAAAGACCCCCCGCCCCCTTATAGTGCTTACGTAATACTTGAACGGCCCCATATTAATATTTTTTGAATTTATAAATAATATTTTTTTTTTTTTATATTTCTAGATACAGAGACCCAATATCGATGTTTTCAGTTTGATTGATTGTTATTTAGGGAGGGTTAATGGTTTCGCTTACGGCTCTGCTCAAAGATTTATTAAAATGAAAAGAAAAGGTGTAATCAAGCCAGCTGGGCCTTCTGACATGTATAGATTTCCACCTACAACGGCAATGGAGGTAAATATTTTTTTATATTACGATAGTAACTACCGGTTTAACAGCAACTTCTTAAGTTGTACGTATAATTGAAACTTATGTAAGAGGTACGATTATAAAACAAATAAAAAATCATTATTCACTATTTTGGGGTTGAAACCAAAAATTCCATACGGAACCCATATGTCTGTCGTACGACTTTGACGGCCTGTTCAATCTATCAGTCACAATACTGTTTTATAAAGTAGTGATACTATCGGTTTAAAGTTATAGTAGATGTAAATAGCCAACAAAATCTAAAAGTACTATCTACTATGCATAGTATCATTATCCTTGCCTTGCCTTTATCCCATTATTTGGGGTCGGCGCAGTATGTCATTCTTTCTTTCACACAATCCATCCATCTTTCCTTAGGGCGACCCCTCCCTTTACATACATCCACATTCATATTATACACTTTCCATAAGACATGATCCTTGTTTCTCCGCATAACATGCCCATACCAGTATGCGTAGTATGTCGATATATAATTTGTGCTATTATCCAAAGACAAACGTTGGAAGTGTCTATTCCAAATAGTACTACAGACCCATAAAAAGAATTCTTTTCTGTATATGAACATTGTGTTCATAGTCAATGAAATTTGAATTATCTTAGACATTTTTTTTATTTTAGTTCGGATGGTGGCAATATGACCCAGAATTGACTTCTTGGCATCATACTCATCCAAGATATCCACAACCAGCATCACCAAATACTTTAATCCTAGACAAAGTTAGAAAGAATAATAAATATGCTACATTATTCTAATTTTTATAGAATATTTGTATGTTTATGAGAAAAAATCAAAAGTATAAAATATAGATATTATTTGTTGTTGTTTCATTACTTGATATGTACACGTTATTCACTCAATTATTCCGAAATTTAGTAGATTACAAAAATTCACAGTTTTTTTCGGTACTCCACCGAAAATATATTGAAAAAGAATACATAATGAGATATTATATCAGATGGACTTCCACATAGTTTCCCCTGGAAACTATCGTGATAAATTCCTGGTTTCGCCATAATGATCTAAGTAACTTAACCTCATGCTTGTCTTATTCCTTCACTGGTACTTCTCTAGCGGGAACCATAAGCGCAGGCAAATATTCCATTCCATTATCATTAATTAAATGTAAATAGATGGCATCGTTACAATTATTTATTTATTTATATGTCGTTTGATTATAAACAGTAGACTCCACTGCGTTCACTAATTTATACGTGAAAGGTAGGGACCAACGGAGTTCCCAACCTTGATAATGATTAACCTCCCGACCTCCCAGAGAGCAATAATTTCTCCGGTGTTTCTAAAAATAAAATGTCGTTCGCTCGCTCTGCGGCCACAACACTGCGCGCCACTACACTATTGCGTATTCATTATGATGGAACAAGGAAAGAAACCGAATAAGTTTTTCTTTAGTAAAAGCAAGTACTAACAAACTTCTATTTTCCATGTAAAAACTTTTATGATTTAGTCTAACTTCACTAAATCATAAATGCTGCTCAGAAACAAAATAAATATAGATTTATTTTGTTTCCGGGTTGGTCCTTTCGAGAGTTGGCAACCCTAGCCAAAGAAGTCATGACATCATTATTGAAACAATAATATGTAAGATACAAAATTCTTCAGTCCAAAGTCTCATGAGAGAATTTGCTTTCTTAATTTCCGATCTTTTGTATACACTGCTTTATAAATGTATACAGCGTTTGTAAAACGGTTTAATTGACAATGACAAGTATATTTAATTTGTTGAATTTCGTATGGCTGTATGGGTTGAGTTCTTTTGCCTTTCCCAGTGACAGGAAAACGGATCCAAAAAAAATTGTGTATTTCATGAATATTTTCTTTCCTAATTCCTACGTTGAATGTACTACATCTTATAAAAAAGATGTCGTAAGTAATCTTTTAAAATCATAACAATCCTCGAATATTATCATAATTTTTAGTACTATTGTGTAATAATAGATTCTATTTCATTATTTAACTTATATATTGTGTTCTAAAGCAATAAAAAAGTTTATTCGAAGACTTAACCTAACCACACTTGTTTTATAGGTCTAAAGTATCTCGTGATACACTCTACGAGTGTGTAAATGCAGTTCTCCAGTCGTCAAAGGATAAGAAAAGGAATTTTCTGGAGACCGTTGAATTGCAAATTGGTCTGAAGAACTATGACCCACAGAAGGACAAACGTTTCTCCGGCACCGTCAAGTATGTTTACCTGGAAGGAACATTTTTGTGGGAATCTTGAATTTTACAAACTGCTTTCCACAAAAGTGGCTCTGTACAGGGAGTCAGTTTTATCTGACGGGACTTGACCCGAAGTCTTTAAATAATGGGTAGGTAAGCATGTGCTTACCGAATTCTATCACTTCCATGAAGTTCCATGTGGGGTAAGATTTTTAGGACCTCTACTTGTGTTTATTCCGGTTACACAGTATATTAGTATATTTAATATTAATACTTCATCTTCAATCACCCAGTATTATCACTAGATCAGATAACAATTAGATGAACGATTTTTATATAAGCGCAACACTTATGAAATTGTTACATTACATTAACATTCCTATTTTGTTTATACATTATATATAGTCAGCAAACATCTAATATACACACTATTAGACCTAGGCTGATATTAATTTTTAATTACAGTACAAAATTTTTTTTATTAACAACTTTTTAATTTTGCAGGCTAAAGTACATCCCAAGGCCTAAGATGCAGGTATGTGTGCTGGGTGATCAGCAGCACTGTGACGAGGCTAAACAACTTGAGGTGTCATGCATGGACGCTGAGGCACTCAAGAAGTTGAACAAGAACAAGAAACTGGTTAAGAAGCTGGCAAAGAAGTGAGTTATCTATAGATTTATTTAGTTATAAAGCTACTTATTTTTTTATAGGTGAATATGAAATACATATGTATGATGATATGAAATATTACATTATTATGTTTACAATTGAATTGATGTAACTACAGCTTGATAGTTATGCATATAAATGGTATGGTTTGTACTTAAAAAAATGACCATATATTGTAAAACTATTATAATCAATGAAATTAGTTTTGTTAGCAAGTTTTTTCACACAATCAACACTCAAATTATATATAAAAATATATTGAAAAAATAAGACATAACTTGTATTATTCATGGTATGAATGATGAAAAATAATATTAATATACATAAAGAGAGATCTGAATAGCAAGTCCTAATCGAAACACAATACTAATTACTGTAATTTCTCCTATTAAAGCCTACTTTATTTTAAAACTGTGGATGCGACAATAAATAAATATAATATAAATTGTTTTAAATTTACAAACCATATTTTAATGTTACAGGTATGATGCATTCCTTGCATCAGAGTCATTGATCAAACAGATCCCTCGTCTCTTGGGACCGGGTCTAAACAAAGCTGGCAAGTTTCCTGGGTTGCTCTCACATCAGGAATCTATGACTCAGAAGATTGATGAAGTTAAAGCAACTATTAAGTTTCAGATGAAGAAGGTAATTTTAGAAATCAGAATTTTGAAACTCTGATGTTACCAACTTAGACTATACTTTATTGTCTGCTTGAATACCTCTTAAAGTAAATACATTTCTGCTGCCAAGCTATGTGCTAGTATGAATGTTGAGATATGGCAGTGAAATTACTGGGTATGGAGGTATGACACTAGTATGGAATGATAATGAATGACCATGCATGTCCCATAATATACATGGTGTTCTTTATGTATATAAGCAACAGATGCAATGGGAGGTAGAGTGCTCTCTGTTACTTGAATATACCTTGTGAAATTACCATCATCATACCATTAATGCAGTGTACTCTATTCTAGCACTAATATTACATATTAATTTACAGGTGTTATGTCTCTCTGTTGCCGTGGGCCATGTTGATATGACTCCAGATGAGCTTGCACAGAATGTGCATCTTTCCATCAACTTCCTTGTGTCACTACTGAAGAAACACTGGCAGAATGTGCGCTCACTACACATGAAGTCCACTATGGGACCACCTCAGAGATTGTACTAATCTTTTTATAAATAAATATTGACATCTAATATTAGTTTCTGATTTAAAATTTCTCAACATATATGACCTCAAAGATGTCCCATCAGATAAATAATATCTACATCATACAAATAATACATATAATAAAACAGTAGAGGTCGAATTTCTGTACATAGAAATAAAACGCCAAAAACTGATAAGAAATATGTTAGAAGTGAAAAAGAATACATTACATTTTTTTTTAATTTTTGTTGGACCGAGTTAACTGAAATTTTGCACGGAGGTAGTTTGCATTCCTGGTCAACATATTTTATAATTGACTTTTAATCACATGGAAAATTAAAGATCTTCGTGGGATAGTTAAAAATTTATAACTCATTTAGCTCAGTACACAACCTACTTAAGTTATTTTGACCTAAGGCAAAGAGTGAGAACCACGCGTTATTTGTTAATTTTGGTGCAGTATTGCCAAACATAATAAGAGTTACATACGAGTATATCGATACATATTAAACTTACATTATCTGGCTTTCCCAAGTCGAGTAAAAAGATGAGATATTTTTGCAATAATAACTTTAATTTTAGTATTATTTAGTTTAAACACACTAACCGAAGGCTTCAGAAACTGAAACTATATTCTGTAAAATGTTGGCGTTAATTTACTAAACTTACAAACCTGTCAATATTTCAATACTACATTCTGCCTTTCCCAAGGCGAGTAAAAAAATGGAGATATTATTATTGTAATTATAATTCTAACGCTAATTAAAGATTTAGGGATTCTGAAATTATATATTCTCTAAAAAATCAATAGATGGCAACTTCGTCAGTCTTTTTCATGGTGAGTACGGGTATAGCAACGCGTCGTACTCAGCCTGAAGAAGACTTGATTACATCTTTGGGTGATGATTCTGTCTCGCAGTATGGTTTGCTAGCGCCAATAATAGAATTCGCTGCGAAAATAAACTATGATCCAGCGGAACTAGGTTAGGGTTGGGTGGGATCTTTTCTCACTAAAATAATATTGACACAATTACTCAAGGCAAAATAGTTCTTGCTATAACTGCTCATACGATGTTCAAGATGTACATAGATTTGGACATAAGTGTACACCATGGTTGTGGTGTCTCTACAAATAGTGATAAAGCGAAGCTCTTACGCGATTGCATAAAACGCCTTCGCCTTTGTTTAACTTTTTTCTTTTTATTAATTGAAAGACTAATTAATTTTTTGTTTTTTAAGGTTGTAAATAAAATAATCTTTACCAATATGGGCATGTAGGCAAAATATTTATTTATACAATGTCACTGATACTTTTAGAATCAGGATTAAGTATATCATCATCACTATTTTCACTTTCAACATCATCAGGCAATTCTTCATCATCATTTTCAACAGATTGTTCACTTTCAATACTTTCTTGGCTGGCTATTATTTCACCATGAATGTTCTTGTTTTTTAGATTGCCCATCCAAAAAGCTTCAGAACATTTGTTAGCAGCAAGCGCTGCTTTCACTTTATAGATGAGTGTCTCTAGCAACTGTCTCATATATGGTACCTTACTTATTAAAACAATATCTTTCTTTAATCTCGAGTGACAGCATAATGATTGCAAAAATCTTGTAGATTGCTGGAGGATTTTCAAAATTTCCAGCACTTCTTCAGTATTATGTTTTAGCTGCAATTCTAGAATAGGAACTCCTTGAGATAAAAATAACTTTAGGACTGGAAGAGATTTATTGAAAAAACTTGATAAGTTATTTCTGTTTTCAAGAGTTTTTGCAATGTCTGACATGTGCTTTAAAATAACAGCCACATCTTTCCATAAGTCTAAGTGTTCTGTATTAGTCAATCCTTTACTTAAACGAGATTTAGTAGCTTCATGGACTGCTGTCCCTAAATTTCTGTATAAAATAGAAAAATTCCCCTTATTTATAGTTTTCAATGTACTCAGTGTATCATTTCGACCTTTCAGTACTTTAATATCATTTAACAACTGAATAGTTAAAGTTTTCAATTCTAAAATTTCATTGTTAATGAAATAGAGGGCAGCAAATTTGTCCACACTTTGATTGAAAAGTAGGCCCTTTTCGGGTACTCCATCGGGAGTATTCCATTTCTGTGATAAAAAATTGTGAGCCATATCTCTAAGTACCTTTAATGTTAGTGTGTTCTCAGAATATTCTTGAACAGATTTCAGCAATTCTATTAGAGCTACAGCAGTGGTTAATTGAAAACAGTATTTTTCATATTTTAGGAGATGCTTAGCCACTGCTGATACTAAGTCCTTTAATGATACTAGATTTGTATTATCAGTAAATGCTATAGTTCTGAGGGAACTTTTAAGTAAAGAATTCTGATTATTTCTGAATCCAATCCATTTAAAATATGTTGCAAGCATATTAAATATATATTCTAAACAGGTAATGTAGTCAAATACTTCGGGTGTGAAAATAAAAGTATTCTCATTTTGACTGTCATGAGAAGCCATAAAGTCATCAAGAAAAAATGTTATAGTCTTAAGATAATCTACCGTTTTTGGTAATATTTTATTTATTGATTTTGCACATTCTTCTGCTTTTTTTTTATCATAGACAAAAGATTGCTCATGTTTTGAGAGAAATGTTTGTCTTTTTATTTTAGTTATCAGTATATTTTCTATATTTATGTTAACACATTTTAAAAGGAACTTTAAGATTTTAATAGACATATTGATTTCATCTCCTTGATCAGTTGTTGACAAATCATTATTAAATAGGTGAAGCACACTAAGACCTAAATGACGAAGGGGGATATTGTGTATAGCAACAAGTTTATTTTTTACTGTGTTTGGATTATCTTGTGTTGTTTGAGTCTTAATAGTTTCTGGTACTACAGTATTATCTTGTGTATTTACTTTTTGTGCTTTTTGTTTTGATGTTCTAGTTTGTAGTGGTTTTTTTTCATCTGTCGCGCCTGTATATTTATTTATATTAAAATTGCAAGCTGGAGGTTTATATATTATATTTGATTTCAAAATAATTTGCTCACATAATATTTCTAATTCCTCAATTTGTACAACCCTATGCAAAATTTTCATTTTGAGCGCATCATCATCCTGAATAGCAAAAGCATTTAATAATTCTCGAAACCAATTAACACAGTGAATTAAACAATCTAAAATGTTACTGACAGTTGTACTATCCAGATCTTCAATTAAATCTAAAGCAATTTTTGGCATTATAACTGGACATCCTAATAATGCATCTATATTTGATAAATTTCCATCATACTGCTTGCAGTGTAATTTTTGTACAAGCTGAAATAGAGGAGGCAAGATACTCACATTTATTTCACTTTTGGGTTGTAAAGCTAGTCCTGCTATATTTATTGCTATGACTTCGTCCATTTCACTTTCAGCATTAAGACAATATTGGAACGATAATTTTAACTCACCAATTCTTTCTGGTTCTATATTTTCAACAATGAAATTTTGTTGCAAGTCATTTGTTACTGCTTCTGTCAGCCATAACAAAAATTGCTTATTTATATGAGTGGCCTCTTCAACAATCTTTGATAATTCATCATAAAAAAAGGCAATCATATCTGGAAATTGACGTGTGCTTCTGCTAACAAGTTCAATAATTAAGGCAGCTTCACGTAGGTCACCCTCGGACAAATGTGAAACAGATCCAAAACTGTTATCATCTGGTAAATCTGGTGTATGATCATCATTGCAGCTACCCATAAGATATTTTACTGCATGAATGCTAGCCAGTATACCTTGAACTTTTATTTTAGGGCTAGAACTACTCAGTTCTTTCCGTATTATCATGTGAATGTCATCTCTCACAACTGAGTTTTCATAACTATAGGCAAGGCAACACAGTAAATTCATTACAGCCCTAATTTCATCCAAATTCATATCATCCATTCTGTCCAGTAATGTTAACATCTGGACACTTTGTGGCTTTAGTATAGATAGATCTTGGGATGCAACATTATTTAGTATAAATAGTATATTTAGAACACAATGTTTACTATCTAAACCTAATTGAAGTATTTCAGATACAACTGTTTGGCAGCTATCATCAAGCCTGGATAACATCAGTGTATATAAATGTGAAGCAAACGATGCAATAGTTGTATCTGCTTTTACTTTCATTAAAGAATTTGTAAGACATATAAGATGTTTTAAATAATCCTTCAGTATTGGTTTAAATTTCTCAAAACATTCATCTACAAGCACTTCCTTGAGAACATTACATTTGATTTGTTTTTTTATAACATTATCTACTAGTTTCTGTTTTTCTTCTGATGTTGAATATAAAATTAAGAGTATAATAATATCAATTGGTTTATGATCTGTACTACTCTTAACTGTGGATGCCACTTTTAACCATGCATTAGCAATTACTTTTGATGATACCATAGAGTTTCGAATAGCAACTGCTGTAAGTACTTGACTTGTAGCAATCTCCTGCTGTTTGGATATTGAAGTTGACCAGCCAAGAGTGTTCCTTAACCCTTGAACTGCATCTAAGTATGCAGCATCATTAATGCGGGCAGGTTGAAGTAAAAACTTAACAAAATTAGGAAAATGTGCACACTTGGACAAACTCATCAAAATATTTAATGTCTTTTTTTGCAACTGCTCATAGTCCTCCTTAGATAGACAAAGATATGAAAGACATTCTAAAATAGCAGGTATTAAGTCATGATCCTCACTCAGTATTCTACTCATTTCAGCTGCAATATTGCTGTGTTCCTGGTCACCTATAATGTCGGGGATAGCAGATATAATTTCTAAACGAACAATCTTCTCTGTAGTGATGTCTAATAAGTTAATAAGATGTGTAGCAATTTTATCTGTGTTTGACAAGTTATCCAAAGAAGAAAAACATTTGAGTATCATTTGGATCCATGGGCCACATTTCGATTCAGCAGATAAATCTATAGCTTTATCGAATATATAATCAGCCAATTTATTTTGAAGAATAGGAACACTTAGCAGTATTTTAAAAACACTGTCTTGAAGTACATATTCTTCAGAGTTATCTCCAATATTTCTTACAATATTTGGGAATAAATATTGTTTGAATAAATCTAAATTTTGACATTCTTGTTCTAAGCTCGTAAATAAATCTGTTATATTTCGAGGATAGTCAAAATGTTTCTGTACATTTTTCTTTATATTGCGTATTATAATGACAGGCTCATCTGAAGCCATACACTTTTCTGGAGGATACTTCAATATTAAGCCGCTTTCCAATAGAGTTTTGTGTAAGTAACCATTATGATCAACAGTTTTGTGTTTCTTCTGTTGGCTGCCAGTAACACTATTATTAGTTCTTTTAGAACTCATTATATTCTACAAATATGAATATTAAAATAATAAATTGTTAACTGTATAAATTTTTGTATGACAGTTCTAATAAACTAGATATATTTGAGGCAACAACTTAAAAATAAACAACTCAAACTTATAAAGCGTTCAAACTAAATGAACTGTGTATGTACTTTGTAGCGATATATCGGCTAATCGGCATTCATTCATTGATTAGGTCAAGTTTGTTGATTGACGTCACAGATCGAAAGACCTATGGCTCGCTAGGATATTGGTGTTCTGTGCTTATGGCAGACAAACTGTCAAACTTAGTTCTTTATGTACTCTGTGGCCTGGAGTCGCGGGAACGCTTGAAAGGAAGCGCGCTCTTTTGATTTTATATTTTCATTTTCCATTATATATTAATTATTTCTGTATAGTTTACTATTTAAATAGTGTATTGCACCCTCGTCATGGGGAAGAATAGAAGGAAGCGGAAAAAAACTGCATCTCCAGACGATCCTGATAGCGATTGTAAATCAACAACCACGTCTGATTACGAAGAAGCAGATTCAGATCCTAAAGTATTATATAAACCTTATTTTGTTACTGATTATAATCGACGATACCCAGAAGACTCCGGTGCAACTGAATTTGTTGTCTTCGTTGAGTCTACTGATTCTAATACCGCCATAGGCGCCAGAGATCTTTTATCCTTATCATCCTGCTTAAAAAGATTCAATAAAGGGGTAAAATACCTTAGAAGCCTAAATAAATATAAAATCGGTGTTTACTTTGAGAAGCCAGGTCTTGCAAATGCATTCTTAAACAATTTAACATTTTTGAAAGAATACCAGTTTAAAGCTAGCATTCCAGCAGGTTCAACCGAAGTCACAGGAGTCATTAGAAATGTCCCTATAAATTTATCCAATATGAAGATTTACACAATGTTATCAAGCTATAAGAAAATTATTTGTATTCGACGTTTTTTAAGAAAAGTTAAAAATGATGTTACTTTTTATCTACAGCCAACACAGACAGTAGCCATTACTTTTGCTGCATCAGTTCTGCCCGACTATGTGGACCTGGAAGGTTGGAGACATGATATTTCACCTTACATTCCTCCTGTTAAACAATGTTTCCGGTGTTTAAGGTATGGTCATTTTGCAAAGTTTTGCAAGAATGCTGAGATATGTTCCATTTGTAAAGGAAACCATAATTTTAAAACATGTACTACACCAATTGATAATGCCAAGTGTTTCCATTGCGATGGGAACCATATAAGTGTCTCATCACAGTGCCCTGTAAAACAAAAAAAAATAATTGAGAATAGAAATAAAGCACAAAGACCTTCATATGCAGACACTTTCAAATCTTTTCCCACTCTTGGACACAGACTAAATAAACAGAATAATGACATTATTTCAATTTTAAAAAATGATGACAAATCACTAGGCCTCCTTGTAGAGACCATTGTTAAATTAATAACATTAAATAAGACCCAAAATACATCAATTTGCTCTAAAAATGTACTAGAACTGCTTACTGAAAATTTCAGTACTAAAATAAATAGTATTCAAAATTCACAATAAGCAAATTAAACATAGTACAGTGGAATGCTCAAAGTCTGTTGAGCAATCGACATTTATTTTCACAATTTTTATATAGTAAAAATATTCATATTGCATTAATTTGTGAAACATGGTTAAGACCACACCATAAATATAAAATCAAAGGATATAATATAGTAAGAAATGACTCAGGTAACCATCATAATGGTGTTGCTATTATACTGCATAATAGTATAACATATAATAAAATTGATGTAATGTCTGATGATGGATTACAAAATCTGGTTGTACAGATTATTGTTAATAATAAGAAAATATCTTTTGCTACTGTTTATTGCCCAACAAATTGTACCACGCCATTCTCTAAATCTAAGTTCATAAATTTTATAAATAATATACCTAAACCATTCATTATTGCCGGAGATTTCAATGCACATCACACTATTTGGGGATGTGATACCATTAAACCTAGAGGTAGAGATATTTTAGAATCACTAGACGAATGCAACTTGGTTTTACTTAATGATACTCAAGCTACAACTGTAGGAACTCATATATGGAAACCTAATGGTTTAGATTTAACTATAGTTAGTCCGACCATAGCACTTATGTGTGAATGGTATGTACACGATGACCCCATAGGTAGTTATCATCTCCCTACAGTGACCGAACTAACCGTAGGAAATGATTATTCTCCATGTCATAGTTTAGCACAAATTAATGGTACTGTTTCAATTCATCACAGTAATTTGCGTCTAATAAACTGGGATACATATAGTATTTTAGTTAATACAAAATTACAGGATTTTTCTATTAATGAGAATGATCCCATTATCACTTATCAGCGCTTCTGTAAAATTATGCAAGACACCGTTGATATAGTATTAGGCAGAAAGTCAACAATACAGAAAAAATTGTCGCATCCACAAGGTGACAGTATTAAAAAATATAAACATTGTCCTCTTCCCTGGTGGAATAAAGAATGCGCATCAGCTGTTCAAAATAGTAAAAATGCTTATGTCAATTTTAAACGAGATCCTACCATAGACAATTATATTACATTTAAAAGACTGCAAGCATTAAAAAAATTAACAATCAGAAATGTACGTATACAAAGCTGGCAAAATTTCTGCTCAAATTTAAATAGATTAACACCAATTTCAACCATTTGGCAAAATTTGATAAAATTTAATAAAAAATATTCAAATAAAACTTATATAGGTAATAACAACAATCTAATGCCATGGATTGACGATTTTTTGCACAAATATACTCCTGATTTTGTCTCAAGACCTCTTTATATAGATGACACTTTTAAACATACTGATAGTTTTTTTAATCAGCCCTTTAAATTAGTAGAACTTCAAACAGCAGTAAAAAGTAGGAAGGATACAGCTGTAGGATTAGATAATATGTCATATAAAATGCTAAAAAAATTAAATGAAAACAATTTAGAAATGTTTCTTAATATCCTAAATTTACTTTGGCTTAATTCTATTATTCCTAATGAATGGAAAACTGATTGTTTAATACCAGTATTAAAATCAAATAAGAATCCTTCACAAGCTGATTCATATCGACCTATAACTTTAACATCCTGTTTTGGAAAAATTTTTGAACAACTTATAAAACAACGTCTCGAATTTTTTATCGAATCTTAAAATATATTACCGCCGAATCAGTTTGGCTTTAGACGTGGATTTTCGGCTCGCGAAAGTTTATGTCATTTATATATGGACATAAATAGAACTAAAAAAAATAGGCAACATTTTGCTGGTGTTTTTTTGGATATTATCGGTGCTTTTAACAATATCAATCATAATGTTATGTCTGACATTCTAACTTCACTTGGAATATCAAATAAATTAGTACGCTGGATATTTAATTTTATGAATGGTCGTGAAGTATATGTGAAGCTCACTAATAATACATGTCTTGGACCTCGGTTATCGCATATCGGAGTGTGTCAAGGCGGTATATTAAGTCCTCTTTTGTACATATTGTACGTCCATAGATTAAATGAAGTATTGGGTAGAGAAGTACATAATCTTCAATTTGCTGATGATTTGGCAATATATTGCTATGGAAATAATTTAACAGACATTAGTTACAAAATAAACAATGCTCTACGTAATCTATCTGTATATTTTTCATATCTTGATTTAGAAATTAGTCCTTCGAAAAGTAAAATGATTTTATTTGAGAATAATAATCTTAATTTAGATCTTTCAAATTTATCTGTTACATACAATGGATACACTATACCAATAGAATCGGAAGTAAAATTTTTGGGCGTTTTATTCCAAAACAAAATGTGTTGGAAAAAGTATGTCGATTGCTTAGCAGATCGAGCCATGATGTCAACTAATATTCTTAGATCATTAGTAGGCACTCGTTGGGGAGCAGATCCTAAAACTCTATTGATGTTATATAAATCGTTAGTTAGAACACATTTTGAATATGCTTTCTTTTGCTTTTGTGAATACAATGTTTATGTAGAAAAACTTGAAAAAATTCAAAATATAAATCTTAGATTAATTTTGGGTGCTATGAATACCTCACCTATAAATTCTATGCAAGTAGAGTGTTACTTATCACCATTAAGATTACGATTTGAATTTTTAAAACTTACCTTTCTGTTGAAATTACTTTCTGTAAATAAAAATACCTTGCTAATTAAACTACTAGATTCTTCATTTCCAAAAACTTTTCTTTCTGAAAAGGTTAGTGAATTTATTGATTGGGTCCGTAATTTTAATATCTATATTAAACCATCTCCGAGTTATTATGGATACTCATATGATGCCCTCTATTCTCAAATTTCTATAAATATTAATAAAACATTAAAAGATAAATATGACGTATATGAATACCTGTCGCGGTGGAACACATATAGGCAAATATACACCGACGGAGCAAAAAATAAAGAATGTGTTTCCATTGCTATATATGATGGCACAGAACAAATGGCAAGTGGTACCAAAATTTCGAAAAATGCAAGTATATTTACGGCAGAAGCTTATGCGATTATTAAGGCTTTAGACTACATTAAAGAGACTTTTGACTGTGACAAATGGTTAATCATAACAGATAGTATGAGTGTTTTGATGGCTCTTTCGAACGATTCTCATAATAAATTAACCGCTTCCTCTGTAATTCAAAGTATTCGCAGTAAGATGCACGACCTGAAACATAAATTACATAAAGATATTATTCTAATTTGGGTTCCTTCCCATATTGGAGTAATTGGTAATGAGAAAGCAGATGAATTAGCTCGTTTAATAACTAACTGTCCTGTCAATCAAATAGAGAAGAGAATAAAAATTCCGGACAGAGACGTTATTATAGAAATAAAGCAAAGGATTAAAAATCAGTGGATAAAACTTTGGGATGAATCTACTAAAATTAAAGGAAAATGGTTAAAAGAAATTCAACAGGATATTAAATCACCATGGTTTACTAAAGGAAAAATTAAAATTAGAAGATTTTATACGACATTAAGTCGCTTAAGAATTGGACACGGACGATTTAATGAACACTTGTGTAGAATGAAAATGATATCTAGTCCAGTGTGTAATTATTGTTCAAGCGGAGAAGTACAGACTCTGGATCATCTACTCTTCGATTGTCAACAATTCAATATACAACGTTTAGCTCTAATTGACAAATTAATGTCCATTTACAAGGATCTGAATATCCCGCGCACTATTCAGATTTTACTTAAAAATCAAGAAACATACAAACCAATTTATGAATATATTGTCTCCACAGTAGAAGATATCTGAAGAAGGAAAAAAGAAATAAAAATACAGAAATTATACCAAAGACAACGGCTGTATGGGCTTAGACTCTTTGCCTTTCCATTACGGATAAATAAACCAAAAAAAAAAAAAAACTCTGTGGCCTGTCATTACCATTTGCTTCTCCATGTAAAATATTACGAGTACGAAAGAAAATGAATTTAAATATCTCGAATTTAGCTAATTTTATATTGAAATCTCACTCGGTCCCTGGATTTGGGGTATGTTTTAGCTAACGGTACAGTTTAATAGGATACCAGTGAAGAATGATAGGATGAGTACCTAAGAAGTCAGGTCTTACTTACAACTTAGTCTTCTCGCAGCGAATCCATCAGAAATTATCCACGATGATTTCATTGCTAGCTAATTTTACACTAGCCCCTATTACTAGCTATCTCTTCATCCCTTTGCTTGCTTGTATAAACCATTAGAACAAATAATTACATGAGATATAGGAGTATTTTTATTGTAAGCTGTATATTTTCAGAGACTTGATCAAGTATTAACTTTATAGTTAAAATAAATGTTAGTGTTTAAATAAAACAACAAATCAATAATAACTATTAAGTGTAATTGCCTAAGCTTTTATGTTAAGTATGAATTAATTGTTTTGTTACAGTATCAACAGGTAAGAAATAAATGGGCCAATTGGCTCATGATACGTGATGTGAAACGTCGCCGAATGAGTGCTGATAATTACTTGGAGAGGACCAGGATCAATGCATTGAGGAAAAATGATGTGTTACCAGTTGAAATAAGGGAACTAGCTGATAAGGATATTAATAAATTTGAAATGAATGCCATACCACTGAGAATAAACAATAGATGTGTTGTAACATCTAGGTTTGTTATAAATTCACTTATATTATCTTTTGACGGCCCCAGTAGTTTAGTGACGCCACTTCCAATGGTTGCAGGTTCTATTCCTCCCTCTGTGTAAATATTTCTATTCATCAGTATTATTGTTTGTATCAGCTTGTGTGTTTTCTATGTATATTATGTATTTTTTTTATAAAAAAATGTCTAAGTATTTATATTAGTTGTATAGTGTCCATAACAAGAGACTAGACTGCTTTTAATCAAATAAAAAAAAAATCTAAAGTAAAAATAAATAAATACCAGCATATATTTATTTTTCCTTTTGATTTTTTATTAATCATTTTCAAATTTTATATACTATAGGATATTGATGGTGTCCCAACAGTTATTAAACTACTGTTAGGATTTATTTTTGTGTTTGTTGTGTGATTTATTTCAAAGGTGTCCAAATACTTATTTGTTTTTCAGGCCACGCGGTATAGTCAAGGAGTGGAGGATGAGCCGTATAGTTTGGCGACATCTTGCTGACTACAACAAACTTTCCGGAGTACAGAGAGCTATGTGGGGATAGACAATTTTATTAATTACTTATATTTGTATTATAGTTAGAACTCGTAATTAAACTTCAGAATTGTGTTATTTGTTTACCTCTTATTTATTTCACACCCTCAACAATAGTGATGTAGACGAAAAAAATCAGGAATATGAGAATAACTTATTCAAGTAAATTACTGTAATATACTAATCTATTTTACTTTTGCTTGCTTCATACGAAACTTTCATGCGCATGACGCGTAGCTTTGCTATAAAATGTCATTATGAAATACATTTTTATACAATTAGAAGACAAGCTGACAGCCTACCTGATCATACCTAAACGGTAATTGTCGCCTATACACATCAACAGTACAACATCACATTACCATTTGTGTACAGATCTTGCGTTGCCATTATACAGGAGTTAGAATCTTTTATTTTTAAAGCCTAATCTCACCCTAAAACTGAAACAGAACAAATGTCTCATATGTGGTTATACATTTCGTAACAAGTGATTTTAGACATTCCAATTCTATAAAAATGTATTAAGGCTGCTTACCCGTATTTGACTGTTTCCATACCTTTTCTACATTAGCCTTTCTAAAATTCTTGAAAAACCCTACTTTCTACTGGATCTGGTCATGACAGTACATACATTATTATTATACTACTTGTTACTGCAATTTCAAAGCACAATCTTTGTACTCTATTTCAGCCTTCTCTAGATTACTTTTAAGATATAAAATTACATTAACATCCATTCAGTAGTGAAAAGGTGAATAGACACTTTTTTGGAATATTTGTATAGATGCAAATCCACTTGAAATAGTCTTATACTTACCAAGAATTAATATTACCAATGAAAGGATATTGTTGAATTACCTTTTAATAAATTCCAACCATAAGAAACACTTATTAAATTAAATAGAGCCTTTTCATAAATCTTTTTGAGACTTAGCTGCCATTTATCCCAGTTATCCAGCCAAGAATTTTCAATATTTTAAATATTTAAACATATACACTATCTTAACTGATACTGTTATTTTCTTTTAAAGAATGATAAAGTTAATAACAGTAAAATTGTACCCATTGAGTTTCTTTCTGGTTCTAAACTGAAGTAGCTACCTGAACAGGATGGTAGGAATAGTGCAAAAAAAATACAAGTATAGGCGGCCAAAATAAATTATTTTGAAATGTATGTTGAGGGATTTGTGATTGTAAAATAATAGAATAAAAATCAGGGTTTTAATATTTTATAAAACCATTTTCTTACAACTAAATGCTTCATAAAGCTTACAAGGGAATAATGCAGCTTTAAAATAAAGCTTTTTAGTCAAACAGACCTGAAACAAAGCAGAAATGTGAATTAGAAATATATATAGTTTACCAGGAAATACATAAAAATATTTGAATTTTCTCAGTGGAAAAGTATTCAATCATTCATTTTCTGAAGCTAATACATGCTAAAACATCATTGGAAACTATAATAAAAATGTAATAAATAATGCATGTAATGTTACTTATAAATACTTAACACTGCTTATATATGTCTAAATGTCACAGCAATTTATAGGGAATGGCAAATAAGTTTATAGTTTGTGTTATAGTTAATAGTAAGTGGTAACTATTGCCCGTATTTTTGAATAACCATGTTGGTTTTAACATCATGTGCACAGATGGTACCATTACTGCATTGTCAATATAGAAGACTAATGCCATGTCTCAATATAAAATAATTGTGTTGTTATATCTTTAGTGTGGACATATTTAACATTTTTGTAAATTAATCTTTGATTTTAATGTCTATTTTAACATCAATCTTTCCTTTCATTTTAATCTATACTAATGTTGCCCAGATTAGAGTACTTAGCGCTTCCTGACAGGTAATTAAGTAATGACAATATACATACCGAAGCCCATATCATCATCAGACTCCTCAGGTTCTTCTTCCTTCTTCTCTTCCTTGGCCGCTTCAGCAGCAGGTGCGGCGGCGGCAGCTGATGGTGCACCAGCAGCCGGCGCAGCTCCCACGCCAGATCCGATGTTCGTGATGAGATCTCTTACATTGACACCTTCTAGGGCTTTTGCAAATAGACCAGGCCAGTATGGCTCTACATCTACACCGGCAGCCTTTAGGATAGTTGAGATTTTCTCACCCTGTAAACAATAACATTTAAGTTGTATTAACTAAGTTCAGATTTAAAATAATAGCTTCAAGGGATGAACAGATGTATACAAATATAATATCCATATCATAAATATGCATTGTTAATGTGAGAATAAAGATGTTTGTGGATTAGTAAACATGCATTTGATGACATTCCAAGCAGAGACATAACCTAAAATAGGAAATAATAATTTAAGACTTACAGTGACGGCGACATCATCATCAACAAGGATGAGAGAGGAGTATACGCAAGCTAATTCAGCTTTCGTTGCCATTTTTAATAAAATACGTGCAAGTCGCCTTTAGGCCTTAGCTACGAGAGAACAAGCACGTTTCACTTCTCAATTACGAAGAGAAAGAACTAAAACATGAAATGACACTATTTTTTTTTCTTAAGATCACTGTCATATGTAACTGTCAATGTCACTAGCTGTCATTGTCATTATTTTTTTTGGATAATGGCAGTTCGGAAAACGCAGCATGGTAAGGCTTCTAACAAAGTGGACCGACGACTCGTCGAAATCGCTGGAGAGCGTTAGATGTCAACAGTGCAGGACCGATCTTCGTGGATATTTTTGGAAGAGGCCTTTGTTCAACAGTGAATGTCTTCACTGTTGAACAAAGTCCTCTTGTTGGGTTGGCATGCTGATGACAGATCTTCCGCACACTCCTATCGTAATAAAATGCCAGTTGAAGCCTTAGGGCTGTCCTATTTAGGGATAGGTTTTTTGTTTTATATATATGTTATTTTTTATTATGTTTTGTCAGTATATCCCAACCTGGTAATTTGTACCGGCAGAGGGTGCCACTGTATTATAACGAACACAAATTTCGTTCTTATTTGTAAAGAAAGGTGTAAAACAGTAACAATTAGACTAAGCTAGACTATTTGTAATAATTTAGTGATTTGTTTAAAAATTGTTCAAAAATGGATAAATGTGACCATATTAAGTAGGTCTCCCTGGTCTAAAGGCTTAACTTCCACTGGATTCGTTTCCTCGCATGATGTAAATATTTGTATTCATGAGTATACACCACATATATACCCAATGTACTATATATATTATCATGGATGCGTTGCATGCAATCATAACATGAGCTCTGCTTTGCTCGAGGGCGGGCGTGAGCGGTGTGCTAGCTGGCTAACTAGCATACCGCCTTACTTCCGATGGTCGCAGGTTCGATTCATCGCACGGCACAAACATTTGTGTTCATGACTATGATTTTTAATAAATTGGGTTCTTTTTTCAGATTTATAGCCATATAGTATGTGACTACTAATGACCAGCACAGTAAATGAATTTCTTTTCTTTGGTACAAAATATCGTAGATAAGAGGGAGAGGATTTTTAATAATGGCTTCATTGTTAATAATGTTTCTCATCCCTAGGAACCAGTATGGATAATTTCTAGTGATTAACCAGACTACTTTAACTTTAATACCTATGATGACGGCCTTGTTGGTCTAACGGTTTATTTTAGCACACCGCCTTAATACCGACGGTCGCGGGTTCGATTCATCGCACGTCACAAATATTTGTGTTCATGACTATGATTGTTAATATCAGTCAGGGTGTTTTCTATAATAAGTATTTACGAAAAAAAAAATCTATTACCCATAATACAAGCTAGCTTAACTTGGATTCAATAAATTATTGTATATATTAAATTCCTATGTATATATATAATAATATCCCATTGTCCTGTAATGGCATTTTCTGTATTCATAAATAAAGGTAAAATTAGTTTCTATTTAACTCGTTAAATTAATTAAAGTTATTAAAAGTGTATAATCTAGATAAAGTAAGTAGTTCTATAATTTTACAAGGTTGATTTTTTAAGGTTTCATATCATATGAAACCTTTTCAACTGAAATAGATGGCCAAAGACATAATCGGCTAAAAGTATCATATGATTTATTAATAAAAGTATCATATTAATAAAAATATAAAATCATATTATTGTATGATTTTACTATAAATTTGTTTAATAATTTTAGATACCATTCTATTTTTTTACAATTATGTAATGAAAAGGCAATTAATCTTGCATAGAATTTATTAAGTACAATAATGACTGCCTAAATCAATAATATAGATTTTAACAATTAATAATATTGTATATATATATATGTATGTGTAAACAAATGTATATTAATTAGGCAAGCTTATTCTATTAGAAGCAATAATTTAAATACATATTACAAATATTGCACTTAAGGAATGATATTTAAAATATTTTTATCTCTATTTACAGATCCCATGAAAATAAATGATGTTTTACAAGCATATCTCTAACACCTTCTTTAAGTGGTTGATTTTGTGTGTCTTTCTTTAAGGGCAACTCCCATTCTGGATTCAAATTAAAGCCAAATTGCGAAAGTATTCTCAATTCACATTTAATTTGAACCCAACCAGGGGAATTTATAAAAGACCATGGATGATACCATTTTTGAACAACATCCACACAAGAACATAAAACTTCTAACCACAAATGTAATGCTTCTTCATTCAAACCCATGCATATGAGTGTGCGCAGTTTTACATCCATTTGAGCATGAGCATTATCATGGGATAAGTTGATAGCTTGGACACATCTATACAACAATTCTTCAGGTGTCAATACTTTCCCATCCTCATCTAAACGATATGTCTTGCATAAGACTAAGCGGCTATATACAGAGTTAAAGTCCTTTTCCACTTCTCGTGATGATGCCTCTTCTATGAACAGCCACGGGTGGCAGGGACCATCTAGAAAACTAGGTTTTTTAATACCATGTAACAAAACTCTCTTAAAAGCAGGTGCAAGAACACCTCTGACTAAATGTGCTGCTTTCTCTGTAACAGAGTCATCTCCAGCCCTGCTATACTTGACTCCCTTTTCATCCAGTAACTTGACAAATCGAGCAGGAAACCAACCACGTAGGCCATTTAATTCACCAATCCAACAATGCTCATCTCTAGAACTGATTACTTCAATGACATCATTCTTTCTAAAGCCTAATTCATCTCCATCCCTTCTTTCAAAATCCAATAATGCTTTTGCTCTCCTCCTCTTACTCCTAGATACATTAACATATCTTTCTCTATCTGCAGCATGACTTTGCATTGTATAATCAGCTGTTAGTTGTATCTCAGAAGCCAACTGTGGCTCAAGTGCTAGAAAATGACGAGCTACCTGTAATATTGCTTCTCTGAGATCAACCAATATTTCTGTTTGTTTAACATTTTTTGAGATTGCATCTTCATTGTTACTATCCTCTCCAAATAGTATAGTTTGAATGACTGACTTGTTCCTTTTAATTTGACGTCTTTGTAGTTGTTGTTTAGGGAGATTGGGAACTGCATTTGGATTTCCAACTAAAGCTCCTTGATCAGCCATAAGATACGCCAAGTGCCTTCTTCTATGTGTATCTATTAGAGTAGGGCTTAATGTATCACCACACACTTCATCAATTGTCTTAACCATGAGATCTACATCATCAATTTCACCAGGTATGTCAGACAAAGCATTAAAAATCTGAGCTGAGTTAGATATTTCCGTAAACCTATTCTCTTTTATTTTCAGCATAGCCAGTGTTACTTTAAACAATACTACAGAACCATCTAGAAAGAAAAGATCCCAAATCCTCAGTAAGATTTTCATATGTACAACATTGGCATAAAGTGTCAGAAACCAATGCATTGTTATAAGAGAGAGCTCTATATCATGGGCATTTAGAACCTGGTCTATACCTGGCAGATATGTTGAAATTAAACTTCTTAAAACTTTCTGGTCAGCCTGAATGCCAATCAGAGTTGATGAGTAATATGAAGCTGGTAGAAGATCCTCCACAGTGGTGCACATTATCCAGAATGCATCTTCTTCTTCTATTAAAAGTAGTAGGGATGCTGCAATCATACCTGTACCTTGACAATAGCCTATATCAGGATACAACCATGCCAGAGCCCTCAAAATTCGCCTAAGCCTTGGTACTCCTGTACTAGTTGGGTGGGAAAAGCAGACATTGTTTGGCAGTATTTGGACTAAATCCTTTTCAATTTGCTTACTAGTCACTAATCCATCATCACTTGAAGCACGCACAATTTCATGATATGTAATTTCTGTTGTTGCCCTCTTCTTGTTAGCTCCACAGAGATGCATCCAAACTTGTGGGCGGAGTGAATGTGGTACCCCATCTTTAACCATTTGTTGCAATTTATCTGTTTTTTCCATTTTTCCTTCTGTTGTGGAGAAACTGATTTCTTTACTGTAGAATTCCCATTGCAGACGATGCTGGTCATCTTCAACAAAGTCATTAGCTAATAATTTGTTAGTATTCCGTTCGGGTCCATCTTCTTCTTCGACACAGAAACCAAATTCGTCGAATCTGTAGTCAGGCAAGCCTACACTGTGTCCTTCCGATTCAGGCTGCGCTAGTTTAGCCATTATATCCTGAGGTACCATACTTGCTGTGAGCGCGGAAAATGGTCCTCCGGGGGACGGGAGGAGTTCATCAGCAATATTTAGACCACGTATTGAATCAATCACATCCTCAGGATCATCATCTGCTAAAGCTGCACTAATTTTGCGCTCATGATCTTCACGGCCCACATAGCCTTCGTGGTCACGGGAACTGAAAAATGACTTCGCAAGATCCATTTTCTATTATAGCCTCATACAAAGGGCAATAAATTTGAAATGTATATTGTAATTTTATTGAATAGTGGCAAAATTAAATAAATAAAGAGTATTTATTAGTGTTACTTATATTTTTTATTATAGTTTTTATTTTAGTGGTCCTGGGTACAAGCTCTACAAGTATGCTGTAGAGTGTGATCAGTGTAAAATTTGTGATTGTGCTATATTGTCGAATAAAAATGCAAATTTTTTTAACATTTTGCATTTAATTAAATATAATAATTGTTTAATTTAGGAAATGAGTGCATGCATTCGTTCTATATACAGCTTGGGTACGAACTTTCTATAATTATGAAGTTTTCAATTCAAATTCGTACTGTAGGTTAAAACTGATTGAGCACATATGTGAAGAGGTTTAAAAACTTTGCTTCCAGGTCAGTAAAACAAATAAAAGCAATGACGTCTAATATTGGCATAGATACATTGTCAGTGATCTGTACTACAAATTCATATCAGAATTGAATCAAACTGTGTTAGAAATACTAAGTAAAACAAATAAATTATAATTTATTCATTTATGTTCTCACTCAAATCGATGCAGTTGTCTTTTGTTTGAATAATAATAAATAAGCATCTTCGTACTCCCTACATTATCTATTGAACGTTGTACATATGCCTATGTGTTTTTGTATTTATAAGATGCATTATTGATTTAACACAGGTTAGTATTGTCATTGCACGGTAGATTTATCATTATTATATTGCTAACAAGAATACTTATTAATTGACAAACTTTTATATAGCACATGTTATGGCCTTGATTTTGAAGTACAAAACAGAAATTCAATAATAAACGTCTCCAAATAACCTGGTTAAAATAATATTCTAACATTAGGATGGCTGTAAAAAAGTGTTGTATTGAGAAATGTAGATCTTGTTCTACAAGAAAGGAAGATTTGGGTGTAACATACCACAGATATCCTAAAGATGTAACATTACGCAACACTTGGATACAAGTTACACATAATAATTTTACTAACACAGACTTGGCAACCTATGTGTGCTCCCGACACTTTCGTAAAAGTGATTTTCAAATGTACAAGGACTCAAAATATGTTTTGAAGTCAGGTATTTCGTAGAATCTTGCTAGTAGCTTGAGTATGTAGGTGTTTTGTGATCTGCTCAATTTACTTTGCATTTTGTTTAATTTCTATTTCATTTTTATATAAATTGGTTTTCCTTCAATTCACTGATATGTTTTTATTTATATATTTAATGTGAATGACTTTGCTTTTGAACACATGAAAATTTTTGCTAGTAGATTGAGCCAGTGGAGGATTGTAGTTGATGCATGGTTCTTAAATATATAATAATAAATATAAATGCATGAATAATTAAAATTGCAGATGCAGTACCATCAATATTTCCTTGGTCGTCAATAAAAACAAAAACAGTCAACATGAATGTTGTCGATATTAAAAAGGAAAAGAGTGAGACTGATTCTTATAAAGACAGTAAAGAGTCTGAAGTAGAGAATTTGGATGCCATTAAAAAGTTTATAGAGGAGCAAGAGAATGAAATATTTGAAAAGGACAAATTAGACGACAAGGATATAATAAACAATGCAAATGTATTAGACAAATATGATCAATCTCTGGAAGAAAGAATGTCAGTTGCTTCCAGCATGATGGATGTAATACTTAATGAATCAGAAGCATTGATTGCTAAGAAAATTATGAAACCAGGAGCTAAACAGAGCTTAAATTCATCAGACAGAGGTGAGTAGTAACTAAGCTAGATTATTAGCATGTAATAGAATTCACTGCCTTAATTTGGTGGATGTCAGGTGTGAATTCAGCATGATACAAACATTTGTGTAACATATTGGTGGACAATATGGAAACACATAGTTTATAATAATATAATATATTAATGTGCAGTTACGAACTATCAAAAGAACAATAAATCAATAATTGAAGTATACAAAATAATATCACATATAGAAAGATAAAGTTAAAAATGATAAGAATATCAAAAGAGTTTGTGACAGTCAGTCCCCAACAATTTCTATTTATGAATATGATCTTTTGTATATGTCTGTAATACAACAGCTGGATAGTACAGGAATATTTATTTTCCTATTAACAGGTTGTCTACATATTATTATACTACTAAATACAAATTGTAAGTAATAAAATCAAATTGTTGTTTTACAGGTACTGCCACCATGTCTCTGTCAGTTGGCTCTAAAGTGGAGGCAAAGGATTTTGGTGAATTCTGGCATGAAGCTGAGATTGCTGAAGTTGACTATGATGAAATGGAGGTGCTTGTACATTATGAAAACTTTAAAAAGTTAGTTTATATGCATCTATTTTTTCCTTCTAATTTTAAGATTAAATTCCTACCACCCAAAAAGACACTGGCACAATACAATATTCATGGGGTGAAGCCTGTATTCACTCTAAGTATTAATATACACACTTAGTCTCAAAAGACACTGTAGTATCTGTGTATATTAGCACATTTAGTCATAATTTAATAAAACGAATTCTACTTCAGAAACATCAGTATAAAGTAACAACTTCATCTGTATAAATTTTGATAATTATATTTTCAAGCTTTTTTTTTTGTATGTAAATTACTATAATTATGTTATAGTCATTTCTGAGAATAAATCATAATTCTACTATAGATGTTTAAAAGTGAAGGCTTACAACAACATTAATAATATTACTAATCCTTGTACATACAATATATATCAAATTAATCTTTAAGAGCGAACATCCTAATTTTTTGTGCTTCATTGTGGACAGGACTTTACATTGTTTATAGATTCTACATACCACCTGATGTACCCTGAATATATACTTGTAATAATATAATATATACACTGTTTTCCTCTGCATTTAGCTTCTCATCTGGGCCATTGTGCATGTAAAATATATACTTTATAATTGACATATTTGATACAGGCATGACGAGTGGATTAGTGTCAGCAGTCCCAGATTAAGACCGTTAGGTAGTGGCGATAATGTGGCTCCCTCTGAGTCTGCAAAAGAGATTCATGATGCACCACCACAGGTTACAATTCCTGTAACAGTTAAGGAGGAAATTAAAATAGAAGAAAAACCTAAACTGACATTTGTTGAAGGTGAACGATGTTTAGCAAGATGGAGGGATAATCGAAGATTTATGGCCACTGTTACTAAAGATTTAGGAAATGGTAAGGTTTGTTCTGTTATATTTGTTACAAATATTATTCTGAGAGTGGAAGACTTAGTAATGTTGAACTGTTATTTCTATTTATTTTGTTTTTTTTTATCAACAGGACATTACGAGATAATGTTTGATGATGGGTTTCAATGGCAATGCAATGCCTCCAGGATGCACAAATCCAGGGTATCTACCACTGACCACTTAACTGTTGACACTACAGTACTGACAACTAATACATCAGTGCCCTCGCCAATCCAGCAAGGTGGCCCAAGTAGTGGATTAACACTCCCATATCATACACATCTGTTTGATCCAAATCGTGATTATTTAGGTTCCAAAAGTGAACGTCGAGAAATGAAGAGAAAGCTGAATATTAAAGAAATATTCAATATTGGACAAAAACGACCAAAAAAGCAGCCTTCCGAGAAATTGAAGGTAGCCGTGGCGACGCCACCAAAGGTTGTTAAAAAGAAAGTAAAGGAGACTACGAAGCATCCAGCTCAATGTACTGTTAAAGAAAAAATAAAAAATGAAATTCCTGGTAAGCATCCAATAATAATAATTTTTAATTGTAATTCTTCAATAATATTTGTATGCTATATAAATTGTTTTATAATTATGTCCAATTTTTCTGTTCAAGAGTTATAGCATTTTTATTTTCATTGTATGTAATTAAAAAATAATGGAAAATCTTCCAAATAAATAAAATTATTTTACATAGTTTTCATTATCATTAAGATTAATAGTTTTCTACATGCATTTCTGTGACTACTGATGTACAGTAAAGAAATTAAAGTATTAATAATAAATAAATACTACTTACAATAATGTATATTATCACTAAATCTACAGAGGCAGTAGCATCTATAATAGGTACTTTTAAAACTGAGCAAGATGTTGAAGAAATAGAAGAAACTTCAGAAGAGACTAAAACTTCAGAAGTCACTCATGAACCAGTAGAAGTAAACACTCATAGTCAAGAAATAGATGTAACTACTCATAAAATAGAAGAAAGAAACAGATGGGAAGAGGATAAAGTGCAACAAGACATTAATGAGGAAACAACAAGTCAAACTACAGAGGATTTAAATAAGGTACCAGATACAATAGATACTTCAGATCTGTCTGACACGCAGATTAGTAAAATAGAGGATGAACATGTGAGTTTTATAATTTTATAATTGATATTTATTTTAATAAAATTTTGAATATAGTAATTAAACAACTTTAGTTTGCATTATATATTATTTTCTATTTATGTAACTATATTTAAACAAACTATTATTTTAAAAATTGTTGTTTACATTTATTTACTGAATAGTTTGGTAAATATTATGTTTATTCTAGTGATTATTATGTTTATTCTAGTGATAAAATTTATAACGTAATATGAACACTTAAAACTGTTTTGATGAATATTATCAAATCTAGGTTTCAGAAGAAGAAATGAAGCTGGAAAAATTTGATAAAGAAGATGAAATCCGACATGAAGAAGTGATAGACAAGATAAAAGAAGTCATTACCAAAATAGAGGATGATTTAAACAAAGCTGAAAATACAAGTTCCCCAAAACCCGAGATAAAAGATGAACCAATAAAAACTGAAAATAGGATAGAAATAAAAGCTGATAGAGATGATGACAAAGAAAAAAAGAAATTGGCAAAAATAAAGAAAGGTAAAAAGTTGAGATTGTTGCAGGAGAGAAAGGTAAAGAAGCAAGTGGAGAAAGTTAAGAGTGAATTAGAGGAGATGAAGAAGCAGGTGGAAGAGATGAAGAAGCAGATGATGATAAGAGCAGAGGAGCTGGCTGAACAAAAGATATCCGCGGGTTTTCTGCTACCGGGCGAGTGGTGCTGTAAGTGGGTGAACGGGCAGCCGGTTGGTAAGGTTAGCGAGCTTGAAACAGAGGTTAAAGATGGGAACACTAAGCCAGGCTTACCAAGACGGAGTGTACAGGTGAATATATCTTTTATTTTTTAAGTGTCTCTAAAATCTTTTTGTTAGCTAATATGAAAGAAGAGCTGTACGATAGCTAGTGACTTGGACAATTAATGTTGTACAATAAAACAGATTGAAAATTTGAAATGGAATTTACTTTTTTTTTTATTCATCTTAAAGGTAATAATTATTGGAATATTTAATATTCGTAGTAAAGAAAACACACAATTACGCTATGAATGGATATTTTTACTTTATGGTTACTTTCACTTTTCTAAAAATTATATAGGGTTTTTTTTTAATTTTAGGTAGAAGATAATAGGTTACCTCAAGGTTGGACAAAGCACATGGTCCGTAGGAGTTTCGGTCATTCAGCCGGAAAATGGGATGTTGTATTAGTGAGGTAAGTCACATGTTGCGATGCGTAACGAGGAATAAAGCTACAATTAATTAAAATAGAAAATTTTAATGTTTTCAAGCTTAGTGTAGTTGCATTAAAACTATTTTATAATAGTAAAGAATGCGTATAGGTCACCTGATGGTAAGTGGTGACCGTCGATATACATGAACGTCATCATGTGATAGCCAATGATATTACTCATGCGCTGCCATTCCGCAGGACTATGATATTGCACTTCATATCCTGTAATCATCATTGCCTTATTCCACCCTTCAACTGAAACACATCTTACAAATGCTGTTTGGCGGTTGAAATAGATAAATAGAGTACTATTAGGAAAGACGTAAGTTGACGACTTTTAACAAAATCTACTTAGGCGTCTGAAACCTGTGCCCAGAAGCATTATACTTCAGGTTTCTCTACACAATAAGAGGAAAGTTTATATTATTAAACACTTAGTAGAAATCAAAGTAGAATTTATAAAATTTAATATGTGCAGATTGTTATTAATGTGGCTCCCATTGCCAGCAGGTTTTACGCGATCCTCCCTGGTAATTATTAACTCCTGGTGCGATCGCCACTTTGGGCTAATTGACTTAACTGCATGCTCATCCTATTGTCATTAAGACAGGCGAGTGCACAATCCTATTAAAAAATAAAATTCGTAAGTGATAATAATGCGTTTATTTTGTCGGCAGCCCTGACAACCGTAGATTCCATACTAAAAATGAGATGCGAAATTATTTCGAGAACAATCGTTGTGAAGATATACGGTCGTATGAACATGTTTTGATGGACTTTGGAGTTCACCTCAAGTTGTCTCGGCGCATAGGATGGGTGACCACCACTCCAGGTTTTATACGTTTTATTTATTCTACAAGTCACCTCCCCCAACGAAGTAGAATGTTAAAAAACTGAAATAGAAATGAAAATAGAAACAATCTTTATTCAAATAAACTTGATATAAATAATCGCTTTTGAATAGTCATATTTTTTTATTTTACCACTCATTCAGAACACGACTCATCACAAGAATGATGAACAAGAAACTTGTGTGTTGCTATTTTGAATAAATGTTGTTCTATGTAAATACACATTAATAAGGCGTGCGACAAGCAACATAGAAACCGCTACACACTCATTGTGCAATCAGATAATCAGCATTATGAATTTTTAACTACAAAAACAATATTATAATTTCTGACAATGACACTTTTGATGTAGAGCACTAATATATAAGTTTTGTGTTTATTTATAGGTGAGGCTGACACTACTCCTGTGATCACGTTGCCAGCGGGCACACTTTACAGCACGTCTCCACTTGTGAAACAAAGGAAACTGAGCCTTAAGAGCAAGGAGCACCGTGTTAAAAGTAAAAAGCGCAAGTTGGGTGTTAGCAAAATACGTCGAGAAGCAAATGTGAGTAGATTTATAAAGATATGTCTACTTTTTATATGGATCTGTATGAAATTGATTGTACATGCAAATTTAGGAATCGCGCATATTATCTATACATCTATACATATAAATAAAATTGGAGTGTCTGTTTGTAATATAGAAATAACCGTTTTTTACTACAGGCATATGAATATAAATACGGTACATACACCAAAATAACATTTTTTACAATTTTTGTCTGTTTGTTTCGGCTAATCTCTGAAATGGCTAGACCGATTTTGACGGGACTTTTTTGGCAGGTAGTTGATGTAATAAGGAGTAATTTTATTTTAGAAAAATAAAGTAAATTCCACGCGGACGAAGTCGCGGGAACAGCTAGTAAGGAACATAAACTCTGGAGTCACATTGTTAGGTATTTCAAGCTTGACATTCTTGAGGATTAAGTCTCATTGACTTTAACAGTGAACAGATTGCAAATCGAATTTACAATGTGAGAGAGTTCCCGCAAATGACTTTGTACAAAATATCCTTGTGACATGATTGATAGATTGAAATATAATATTTCAAGTTTACATAACTACGAGTATAAGCCACATGATTGATTGATTGATTGACACAGAATTTTTGACAGAGTTTTATGGTATAAAGTTTTTGACCGCCCCCCATCGGCCTTGTGACTTCTTTTATGTTTGGGAGCAAATAGTATATATAATAATTTTAGTATTAATTTCGTTTTTTACAGCTGGTTATTCCTGGTGTAGAAGGCACCGTTGAAGGTGTAATTTCAGTTAAACCAAAGTTAAAGAAACCAAGATCCAAGTTAAAGACCATAGTAAACGCAGAATTAAAGCCAGTAATTGAACGTATTGATGCTCCTGTTTTAGAAGATGGATTTGGTATGTATATAACTCGAGTTGATATTGGTAAAAATATATATTGTGTAATTTATATGTATGTCATAATATAGTGTGAATGATAATACTTTACACTGTATTCGAAACATATATAAATATATATTTAATTAATATAATAATCAATTAATTCTGCAAATTATGATTATTAAATATATTCACTTGAATATTGAAACTTCATTTGAATGTTTGAAGAATATAATGTTTTCATATAAGGGATATGGAGAACTAGGTTCACCCAATAAGAGAATCTTTAGACAAGTTAACATTGGTTGATAACGGCGATTTAATATTGTTAATATTATACTAGTGTGCTATACTCTAGTATAATTATGTGCTATAAATACAGTATATTCTATTATATAATAATAATATAATTGCGTATATTGTACATACCTGTAGCATATACGCGTATTTTAACCTAATATAGTACGTACGTATTTCCTACATGTATACATATTACAACCTATACCCGCGACTTTGTACCCATATAACAAGAAAGATATATGTTACATTTTTAATATATGTATAGACTCTACGTCATATGTTATATGATAGAAATTAATTCATAACATTTCAGTGTATGTTGGAGCACTAAAAGTACAAATAATAGACAACCTCCTTCGCTGCCCGGCCGAAGGGTGCTTAAAGAATTTTCGTAACAACACACTTCTACAAATGCATATTAAGCATTACCATCGAGAATTGCGTAAAATGATGGGTCGAACACCCAAAGTATTGGACTTAGCTTACGCTAGAACTATGCCCACCGATATAGAACCGCCCAAGACACATGAACTGAAAACCGTAAAAGTCAAAATACCAAGACTACCAAAGCGTTACGATGAGGTAAAACATGATTTACAAGAGCCAAAATTAGAAATACCCATAGAGACGCCAACCACACCTGTGAAAGCCGAAGTGGAGGTACCAAAACAAGATTCTCCTAAACTGCGGCACGCATTAATTAATAAGCCAGTGAAACGACCGAGGGTTCTATTGCCAGTTAGAAGGGTTGAAAAAGAGGTTGAAATTAGTCAACCGAAAACAGAAGATGTTGAAATGGAATTGGATAAAAATATTACAGATTCACAGATATATGAGCCACTTATAGAGCCTTTAGATTTCGAGACCGCTATCTCCACTCATACTGTGACGAAACCTTTTGATCGTAAGTTAAAAGAGAAGAGGCTTTTAACAAAGTTGCCTATAAGCGAGGACGATGAATGGTTTGGTGGCAATTCAGATATGGAAACGAGATCTAGTTTCCCAAGATCCGGTACTCCAGATTCGAAATATATGGATCAAAAGCCAGTGTCGTCAGAATCGAATGAGGAGCAGAAAGAATCAGACATGTATATGTACACAGAGAGTAAGTAGCATTCTTTTGTGTTTATTTACATCTTAAACAGTTGAAAACTTCAGTCAACTGCGAAACAAGTAATTACATATTATTCTTGGTTATAAGTATAAAGGGCGGACAACCCTTATCTCTTCGGGGTATGAAAAGTAGATAGTAGCCGTTTCTCAGACCATGTATATAGAATTTCACAAAAATCGGTCAAACCGTTTCGGAGGAATTTGGTATCTAACATTGTGACACGAGAATTTTATATATAAGACTAGTTGACACGGCAAACGTTGTTTTGTCATATAAATTGATATCGATATTAAAAATGGGGTTGGTGATAGAAGGGTGAAAATTTAGGGCTGTATGTATTTTTTAATGCCACATCTTTAAAATATAAAAAATAAATTGTTTTGAGCCACCTGAGTGTTTAGGGGTGAGTCACCCTTAACACTTGAGTTATAAAAATTAGTTATAAGCCTCAGGCCTACTCAATATAGATATAAAATTTCATCAAAATCAATCAAGCCGTTTCGAAGGAGTATAAACCATGTCACCATGAGAATTTAGATATCCTGATAAAAATGAAATAACTTGTGACAGATGGGGAACGTATAAAGATAGTGCACATGAAACGCGAGGAGATCATTAATTGTCACTGCGGATTCCGCGAGGAGGACGGCCTCATGGTGCAGTGCGAACTGTGCCTCTGTTGGCAGCACGCGCTCTGTCACAACATACAGAAAGAGTCAGAGGTATGTTCACGTCTCATGTGTCCATTTGCGTCTTTTGTTACAAGTAGATTAATATAATTGGTATGAGCAAGAACAAAAATAGGTAGCTATTACATGCTGATGACAAGTAATTAATGAAGCGCCATCTAGCGAAAGGAGTAAATATTTAACGATATAGTACTTAGATAGGACTGTGCGAATTGATCTTGATAAATGAATGATTGATATGAATTTGTCTTCAATAGCTGCCACTCTTTTAGTGCGCTCAATCGTGTGTGGTTGCATTTTATAATATTTTTATGATCACTCTAGCCCGTATGTCATTTCACTTTCTTTGTTTTTTTTAATTTTATTCCATAGATTCTATTTTTCAAAGTTTTAATACGTTTAAGTTTTATAAATTATCAATAACTTTATAATTATGTCTATGTTACATAGTCAGATGTCTGTAATTTTGCAATGATAATTAATTATTACAAAAAGTCGCGATAGTACTTACGATTGGACAACGCGGGAATGCGCGAACTGTCGGCGTGTAGTCTTTCTCGTTCTCTTTGTCATTACATACATGTACATTTACTGCGTGAAAACATATTCCCTAGTGAAAGATTGTATGTATAAAGGCAGCTAATAATTGAATGGTATGTGATAGGTGCCGGAGAAGTACACGTGCAGCATCTGCCTGAATCCGCGGCGCGGGCGGCGCTCGCAGCGGTTCCTACACGACCAGGACCGGCTGTACGAGGGGCTGCTGCCGGGCGCGGCCGCCTGCCCCTCGCTGCGGCGCTCCCATGAGCTCGCCGGGAACCTTCTACGGGTGCAAGACGCTCTCCACGCCTGCCGCCTCAAGTACCACGTCGCCACGTGAGTCTATACTAATAATAATATCCCTGGACAATCCATATTGAATATGATATAGATTTTTCTATATATACACAATATATATAGAAAACACTGCGACCGATACAAAGAAGAAAGTTAGACCATCGACCTTTTAGGGTAATCTCCGGATAATCCGTATACTGTTTGTCTTCCTAATTATCGGCTCTCAGAGTCTTCACTCGCCATTCTCAGGTCACAGCATAATACCCGCATGACGTCAGCAGTGTGCTTTAGAGACGACATAATGCTTCCTTCTCTTTCCCACATATATTACAATCCGGATACTGGACTACTCATCCGATTTTGAGATTTTTATTAGTGATGGATGGATGGTGCGTATAATATATAGCCGAATACTATAATATTCTAGAATATGATCTAGATACTTTAGAGTAGTTTTTAGTAAAAGAGTAACAAGTTTCTATCCATCACCACAAAACATTCTCGTAAATAATATTGATATGATTAGTAGGGCTAACAAGTTAGAAAAGATTGCATGTACAAGTAATAATATTAACTTTCGAAGATTCTTACTACTTTTTCAAAATGACCACCTATCCACCACTCCCCTTTTTATTTCAAATAAACGTGATAACTTATAATGAAAGTCAATAGTATATAATGATAATGACATAAATGATTTCATCTTGTTTTGCAGCAAGAAGAATCACCCGAAACTGTACCTGTGGGCTCAGGATTGGGAGAATGGTGACATAAGTCAAGACAAACTGAACTCTGATTACTCAGACTTAAGTATCATGATCAACAATATTGGCAAGGAGAATCTTCCAGTGAAAGACGACATGAGGGATCTGGATATGAGAATTGATGAAGACAATGACAGGTAAATGTTTTAAATTTCTATGTTATACTAATATGTATATACATATTTTTATGATACCGCATGCACAATATACACTAAAGAGTTGCATATTCATAGTGTATTGTAACCAGAGATGCGATTTATTTGAAATACTTCTATTTAAAATGCAAAATACCTATTTTGTATTTTGCATTTAAATGCCTTTTAGCAAAAAGCATTTTGAATTTTATTTGAAATACCTTTTGAGATGTATTTTGCATTTTTAATATTAATTTCTAAATGAATTTATACAGTAAACTTATGTTACAATTTGTAACATAAGTTGACTGTATAAATGTACTGACAACATAATACCTACCTATCTCTTTGTTACATTGCAGCAAACCATCTGTGTCTAAGTTTTATGGACCAATGAAGTTATAGGGTACGAAGGCATATACCTAATTCTCAGAGTGGCAACACATAAATGGTACCACAAGTGTCACCTGACGTTTTCATGTCTGTGGTGCTCTTCATGTACGCTAGTGACGGTTGATTCAGTTACATAAAAAAGAAACGGGCATTCTGCTGATTTGAATCTTACTACTTATATTATTGTGATTACCCGAAAATTATGTTACTGGCTGTCGAACATGTTGCACGTTTTTTATAAGGCCAAGGATAAAATTAAAACTATTATTTTGTAGATTCAGTCAGCGAGAAGGACCGCTGGGTCCACAAACTCTCCTCAGCGGTTTGCTTTCGAGTCCAGGTGGAGCATCTCTCGAGTTGTCCCTCACCTCTTCAGAATTGGAGAGGTTGGCAAAGAGTGTTCAAGGTACACAATTTGTTTTTATAAATATAGTTATAAAAAAGATTACCAATGACTATAATATTTGTCAACCTCTGTGGGTCAGCGTTTAACACTGCTTTATTGTTGTAGGTCTGATCCTCGCACTATACATTGTACTTTTTATATTTACCTATGTATTTTTTTTTACAATAAAAGAATTAAGTATATCAGTTATCTAGAGTATAACTTATTGCAAACTGTGCTTACTTTGGGAATAGAATGCAGTGTGTTAATTATCAGTATAACATTATTTTCCTCTTGCCCTTCTCTGTGAACATATTAAAATATTGCCTAACTCATTAGTTAGGCAATATTTTAATATGAGACTGAATTAATTTGACCTCAATGGAGTATTAGGTCAAATTAATTCAGTCTTTAATTGTTAAAAATTGTTACAGACTTTTTGTTATGGGTACAATATGTACGTTTAACCTAACTTAGGAACTGTGTCACAACTTAGTGTCACATTTAGGGCTTTTTATATTTATTGTTTTTAAAAAAACATATTGTTTACCATTTATTTTATATCATTATTATTAATGAATTGATTGATATAGAACAAGACATACCACGAGTGACAGCGCCGCAGCCAGAGCCGGCCATAGAGAACAGCGTCTGCCGGGAACGTCTGCTGCGACATATCCAGCGTTGTCAAGCGCTCATCGACGCGAGACTAGACTCCATCGAGGCGCAAGTTGCAGGTAAATTGTACGAAGTAGATGTTGGAATAAAGCTGCTTAATTTTTGTTGCCAACTGTTCTAATGTTGTTGGCTGCAGCTGGCCTTTACAGCATCACCGGACGACAGGGACGAGTGGACATGGCGCTCCAAGCCCGCAGAAGAACTTATGGAGCGGCTGAAGACCAACTCCCCGATTTCTTTTTATGTATGACTTGTGCAGTAACAATAGTGTAATATTTTAAAAGCCATCATACAAATTTGTCGTTGTTACAGCTCCTTTGCTCAATGTCACGGTTTATCAAATTTGAATTTTTTTACTTTACAGAGTTAGAATCTCAAGACCCATCTTTCGAGGACGACGAGACGGCTGACTACTTCCCGCGCACTAAACAGACCATTCAGATGTTAATGCGGGATCTTGATACTATGGAGGAGTTAGGAGCCAGTTAGACAATTTTGGACTTTAATTTCATAAACAAAATTGTCTTTTTTGATAATTCAGCTTTAAATATAATTTAGGCAGATGTTCCCTTTTACATTTAAGTCTTTATGGGTTTCCTTTATTATATTTTGAGAATCAACGTAAATAATAGCCCAGTACTTATATCAATATTCACTATAATTTTTGGCATTTGATTATTAAAAGTATGTATTTTAAGAAAATCTATTTTAATTACACATAGAATACAAGGAGTGTATCTATAATATATATAATGTTAGCAAAACAAATGCTGTTTATATTGTACTTTTAAGGGGACAGTATGATTTAATTTTATGACTTGTGTAATAACTTTATTATTCTTAAACATTTGTGTAAATAGTACAACAAAATAATTATTGAAATAAAAGCATTTACCAAAAAAAATTGTTTATACTTGTATATTCACAATTATATACGAAACTATGTTACCTGACATTTAATTATTCTTTATACTAGAAGTAGATTAAGAAGAACGTAAATATGGTACAAAAGGCGGTATTAACGCATAAACAATCTCTTTCAGTGTAGAGGAGAGAATCTACCACTTGTAGGTAGCGCAAGAATGAACTAGAGAAATAAAATAAAAAGGGATTGTTACATTAATATTAAATGAAAACTTGTTAAAGAATTGAAAATATTTATTATCTTATATACTTGCAAAATACAATATTAACCCTCATAAAATTTAGGAAGTTGATCACCTAGGATTACTGATCTCTCTACACCAGCCTCAGTTATGACGCCCAGTCTTACAACACCTCCAGATGACCCGTCACGGAGCATGGCCAATGTCAGAGTGTTTGTTACAAATTTAACCGCTTCCTCCTTGGTCATGTTAGGCTTGAAATTGGCATCAACATATCCATACACATAGCTGGATCCAGAGCCACCTATAGATACTGCTTGTCGTTGTACCATACCACCAATAGGCACTGAGTAGATTTGTCCTGTAACAGTAAGTTTATTTATTTTCAAAGCAGCCGGTTTATAGTACACACATTCCATTTAAAAAATGAGAAAAGGAGCCAGAAACTTTCATGTTGCTCTAGTATTTAAAACAGTTAAAAGCAAGCAACACTATTAAAGGTTTTAAATATTGCATATGATTTTCTAAAGTCTGTATGGTAATTTCATAGTAACTTTAATTTATAAATAAATAAATAACCAAGCTAAGCAGCGCTTGTGTTATGGGTACAACAACTGATATTAATACTTAGAAATATATTTTTTGTAAATACATATACATACACAGAAAACACACAGACCGGTACAAACAAACATACACATTAATACAAATATTTGCATATTTGCGTAAAATCAAAACTGACCATCAGAAATAAAGTGGTGGTAAACCGCTAGACCACTGAGGCTGTCATGCCTTTAAAACTTTAATGGAGTCATTATAGTACATTTAATTGCTGAGTCCCTTTTTCTTATTTAAAGTCTAAGAGCAACAAACAATTACTACATTCTTAGGTATGAAATATTTTTAAGTAAAAATAATTCAAGATGTATAAGACCCACAAATATATAAATATTGATTAAAAAACAATTTAGGTAACTGATTCCTGATTATTACCGCCTTTCTTCTTATCCCATCCAGCTACCAGGATTCCAGCCACAAGTGAATCACGGTAGTTGTAGCAGAGCTCCCGGAATATGGATGCAGCAGTTTGCACCAGAGGAGGCTCGCCCAGTTCCATCTTATGGAAATCTGATTTAACAAACAGGATTATATGTGTAAAAATATATATATAGATCAAATGAGAATTGAGCTTTTACATTTACATTATTGAGTTTCCAATATGTCAGCCGTATTACACATTAAATTTAATAAGTTTAGAAGCTATTATTTCAACCTATAATTCACTATATTATTAAAAAAGTTGACTGGAAGATTTCCCCAAATGAGGGAATTTTTCCTGTCAACTTTTATACCCCCATTGTACAATTTATTTTATAATATTGTTTGTTGGGAGTCCTTCATTTCTGTGATTATTACAAACAAAGAATGAAATCAAAGTTTTCTTTATAAACAAAAATAAATGCTTGTGCATTCAAGACCACAAAACTTTGCAAAATGTTTTGTGGTATATGGAATAAAAAAATTTGGCATGACTAAAAAAATTAGAATAACCAATGAGCAATGATATAAGGTACTATTAAATCGTAAACATATTCCAAGGCTAACGAAATTAAATTAAATTGCTGGCAAGAGATACTGACGAATAAAAAGAAGTACTTACTCAAATGGTATGTAACAATATCGGCAATGGCTTGCGTGTCGGCGGCGGAACCCGATCGGCAACAATAAATATGGTCCGTAATTCTTGTCAGCTTGTCCGTAACTCTGTTGGCAATGTAAGCGCCTGTGGTAGTTCTGGAGTCAGCGCCAATGATAACACCGCCGCTGAACTCACAAGCCATGATGGATGTACCGGTACTATGTGGTGCACTCATCCATTCTGGGATGCATGGATCCGCGTAGGTGTTTATTACAGACGCTACCATATTTTCTGGAAGATATAAAGACAAATAAATGAAAAATACTACTCATGGTTACATTGTTTTGTTTTTACAAGTCCAAATAACCTTATTTAATTGTTATGCGTGTAAATGTACGGTTTAAATGGTTTATAATTATATTTATAATAGTAGGGATTACTTACATAGATAATTATCGATTTCTAAAATCACGAATTAAGAATTTATTCCGGTCTGAGAAATATTAAACGATAATTTGTTTAAGTGTCAAACTGTAAGTAAAAGTGTCAAATCATTGGGCATTGTGTGTTCCGTTATCACTAGAACAAGGAACTGAAGTTGCGATCTTATAATCAAAATTTCTTTATAATCAACATAGACAAACAAAAACATGTTGTATTTATGAATTTTGAGTATTAGTATTAAAAACACATGATATTATCAAATACTTATAAAAAATTAAGAATTTACTGTATATTTGCTGTTTCTGTAGCATTTTAATTTATGTTAAATGGAATGTAATCTAAAATAATTTCTTTTCACGCATATTTACTATGCAGTCGCATAAAATTATAATTTAGAATAACATGTTAACCTGTCTTAAAAAATGTATTAATATTAATACATTGAAGAAGATACAATTTATAGATACAAATGAGTATACAATATGAAGATATTTTCTCGCAATGTTTGTAATTAAATTTGCAGGAAATAAACGTAGTGATTACTTGCTCAGTGGTTTTTGGGTAAGTCTTCAACCACTTGCTTAACGTTAGATTTGGTCGATATTTTACAGATATCTTGTCTTATTATGTATACCAAATTAACATGTAACATATATGTTAATTAAGTAAGTTTTGTCACAATACAATACGATAGCATTGGGTGAACTGATCATGATATTATATAAGTATTCTAAATACGATATTTTCCGTTTCTTGTAGAGGTGAACACAGGAACTTCTAAGCTCTTCAATAACGACAATGTCGTGTTAGGCTTGTTTAATTTGTTTTGATAATTATTTAATTATGTCAATTACTTAATCAGCGACTAATCACGATCAGCTATAGATATAAGATATAATTAATAAAATAGGTTACATTAATTTAAAAAATGATGTATTAGAGTAATGATTAGTGGGTATATATTAGTCACCTATTAATATACAGCTGATATCCATGTTGCTCAAAGGTAAGGACAATCACGAGCAACAATACTATGTAAACAGTTAATTCATCACAGTCACTCATCATTAACATGTTCTATACTAATATTATAAAAGTGAAAGTGTTTGTCTGTCAGCTTTTTATCTTTTTACGAATAAACCGCTGTAACTTGATGTGAAGGTAGCTGGTATCAGTAGGCTGGGAATCGGCTATCCTGTCTATAGTAAAATTAAAAATCCAAGTATCTGTCCTCTTATTCGATACGCTCCTCATAGAACGGTCGTAGTCATTATGTAGTAGAGTGAGATGTCATCCGCCTTACTACAGCACACTATTCCTCCCTACTGGCTGCCATTCTGGTACACTTATGGACCGCACTGTTGGTTTGTCTTGGTCGGTCCATCGCATAGGTTATCGTCTGGTTAGTTGTTGCCTTTTGACGATTAAACGACTGAGTTTTATTAAAATCTATAAAACTTGATATGAGATAGCTGAACATTAAAAAAATTTGAGTACCCAACTAGGGAATGAAAGTTAGTGCAGCCGAAGTTACGGCTAGTATTACATAGGTACAATGGTATTTTCGCAAATATTGAATAAAAACGCACCATCACCGTAGCGTGGGTGTCCTCCACTCATTAGCACCCCTTGTCCCACCAAAAGCGTAGGTCCTCAGAAAAAAAAATTGAATTCGTTACGCGCCATTTTGTATATCATCCCAAAAATGATGTTTATTTAAAAGTTATAAAAGACCATCCGATTTGAGTGAGCCGACGTTTTTGATAAATCACCATTTTATTCGACATTTTTATTCAAAAGGAATGGTTTTTAGTTAAAATTTATTTTATTCATGATTTTTGCGATTCGCCACCGTTGTTCAAAAGAAACAAGCACGCGTCTTTATGCTGTGCGCGACCTGCGATTCTGATTTTAATAAACTTAACAATCTTGATACTTTATTAATAATAAAAAAATATTTTTATTCTTATTTTCAAATTTTTATTATCTTAACGTAGTATATCTCATATCTTTTTAATTACGCAACGGATTTTAATGCAGTTTTCAGCAATAGATAGTACATATAGTGCGTGTATCTATAGTATAGAAAAGCCGAGTAATTCAATGATTTGTAATCTGTGCGAAGCCGGGACGGGTCTTTTGTTTATTGAATAACTGAATTAATATTATTAGTTAAGACCTCAATATTAACCTATTGAAAAAACATAAAATAATCCTGTTAGATGACATTGTGACTTCAGTTTAACATATCTCATTGACGGTTTTACATTTAGAATAAAATACACTAGCCACACTAAAATATAATTAACGTACGTATCTATCGTATAACGTAGATATTTATATCAGGTTTTCAGTTTATAACACGAGCTCTGTATACCATACAGACTAGTCCCAGCCCTGTGTAAATTTTTCATGGATATTATCTGTATTATTATAAAAGGGTAACTTTTTTTGACGGAGGGGGATAATGGGATATGTGAGATTCTTACCCATATATATACTAAACCGGCATACTTGCGTGTGCTAAACTGCTAGACCACCGAGGCCGTGAATCGAAATCGAATTAACAAAGTTGAATGGGTTTCCATGGGACCACTAGTTTGTATTATTATCTTACCTGTGCTGTTTATTTTCATTACTAACAATCCTCTTCTCCTAGCGTAATATATTCAATTTCATGAATCGTGTGTCTTTTGTCTTAGATATTGATTCGTTACATTATGTCTCTAAAAACTTATAAAATTTAATACTTTGCAAGTATCAAATCTTGTTAATCGTTATAGGAACGATTGCTCAGCGCCAATAAGTAGGCGTATTATTGAGCCAAGTCCTGTACGCAGTCGACACAGAACAAAACCCATGGAAGTAGCTGTCAATCGCAACTGAATAATGACGCGTGCGGTGGCGACGTTTTGTTATTTATTTATTTTATTTTATAGCGACTCCCCCGCGACCCGCGAGACAATGGCCAGATGTTGATATTTTTTCTATATTACAATGTATTTTAAGTTTCGATATCCTTTGTTGGATGTTTCCGTTGAACGGACGACCCTTGGTCGTTGCTGCGTCGGTTGAACTGTCAATGTAGGGTCCTTACATAAAAAGTAGGTAAGTACGTTATCTAAGCAATACATATAGACAGTAGGTAGGTATTAGGTACCTACACTCGAAGGCTTTTGTATGAAAATGCTGTAATTTTTAATTATTATTGTACTAGCCTATAAGGTACTAACTTCATTTATATTCTAGAATCAAGAATAGTCAACGACCACGTATAGCGTTAATTTTTCAGGCAAAGGATTTTCTATTTTATAATACCTTTTAAATATTTTACAAATTAATTTACCATTCAAATAGATGTATCATTTTGTTAAAGACTAGTTTGTAAGAAACAATAATAATAGACATAGAAAAGTGTACCTTTACACCAGTTCAGTTTCTTATAAGTTTTACTGAAATGATGTGGCTACTCGAACTGAATGATAGGGATAGATATGGATACACAAATATGATTTGCAGAAGTGACCCAAAATATCCTATATAATTAAATAGTTTTGATATGAATGGTCTGAATTTCAATATTAGTTAGGTACCATTGCACTATTAAAGTCACCATTGTAATTGAGGAGTGAAGGACCTTGTTAGATTGTTGGTAATGTTAGACTTATGGTCCTATATCTAGTAGTATATCATGTTGACCTCCACGCGATTCTCCCTGGAAACACGATGGGCCTGACCTGACCTCTAGCTCATCTTTATGATGCTCTACTGGTCATGAACTGGTCATGCCAGCGTAAATGAAAGTAATTATAATGTTTTTTTTGGATGGAATGAAATCGTTAGCGTATGCGGATGTAAACAATTAAAATAAAAGAAAAAAAAATTAGTTTAGTTACCTATCGTATTTAATATTGTTATTATGCAATATTGATATAAAAATTATATTGGTGAAACATTTAATTAAGGAACTGTAATGTATTATTGCTTTGCTACTTGTTATTCCAACTCATTCGATACATAAGATTGCTATTTCAACATAACTTTACTAAATAATACATAATATATAATAAAGAGTAATAAGTCATATTACTCTATAGGAAAACCAATGAAAACCACACTTTGATCTATATACAATTGACGATACTGAATTTAGATCTATGTTGACTATGTGTAGCTAAATATTATACCTACGGGTCAGCGCAGGCGGTTACTGGCGTGTGCACAATTCAAGCATCCATAAATAATAATTATTCGTCATCATATAGGTTTACGTGTACTATTTTACATTCATATCTACAGGAATGATAGACAGATTTGTTAAGTTATTATTCTATTTGTCAGTATAGATTTAACAACGTATAGCATAAAATATGAGAGACAAATATTTTAGAGCAAGGATGTTATGGATATGAAATTTCGGATACAGATAGATTTCGGATATAGGAAAGATTATTATACTGTATACGGATACGGATGCGGATATGAAATTATTTCGGATTATCCGATAGTTTCGGATAATTTCGGTTACGGGTATAATTTTTGTAAGGAATTTCTAAAGTAAATTACAAATAACTAATAAAATGGTTACATAACGTGTCTCAATTAGACTCCGACTTATTAAATTTAAATTAATTATCCAATATTATTCGAAACTTTTATTTCGGATTCGGTTACGGTTACGGATATTTTTTTATATCGGATATCCGATAGTTTCGGTTACGGAGCTCCTTAACATCCCTGTTTTAGAGTATGCAATAGGAGTCCTCAGCACAATAGGTAATATGACTAAGTAGTGTTTATTTTATAAGTAGGTAATGTATAATTAGGATATAGGGTAACGAACAATAAGTAGAAAGTAGTACCAAATATAAAAAAAAACTGATGAATAGGTACACATACATTAGGACATAGACCAAAAGGATGTCGCCACAAAGAAAGCGACAGACTCTACAAAAAAAAAACGCATCGCACAATTTATGTAGTCATTTATTAGTCAGTTTTCAAAACAAATAATTTTCTGAATTAGTTCATTGTCGTACTTTCAACCACAAATAGTAGGTATACATTAACAGTTATTTTTCTACAACACTACATTAACCC